ATAGTGGTAGATATGTATAGGGGTAAGCTTGTCAATGTTTTTGACAAGGTGGTTAGCTTGTCAATGTTATTGGTGGAGTCTCTAAACATATTCCAAATCAGCACTAGCAAAGCAGTCCTGTAGCATAATCTCTGATTCTGGTGACCATTTCTCAACGGAGCAAGTCACGGGTACTTCCTTTTTGAGCTTCTTCTCGTAAACAGGAAGCAGGAGTACGTAGTTATGATCTGATTTGCCGAATGGCGGACGAGGGAGGGCCTTGTATGCTTGCTTGTGGGTAGAGTAACAGTGGTCTAGGACTCTATAACCCCTAGTGGTGAAGGAGAAGTGTTGACAAGGAATTCAGCCGCGGTGAATGGAGAATCCATCGAGTTGGATAGCCATTGGTGGTATCTTGTCCAAGAGCCATGTTTCAGAAAAGCGAGAATATTGCTTGTTTCGAGACTCCCGTTGGTATCAAATCCGCGATCAGAGGTCATTCATCTTATTATCAAATGACTATTGGCCAATAGAATGGAGGGAGAAGGTGGCCAGTTCTCCCTTCGCCTTAACCTCTCCAGGATCCCCCCTCTCTTGCCCCTGTAACATTGGCGTTTCCTCTTGGGTAGGCCAAAAAATGTGGTCAGAATTACAGAAAGAGCCCAGGGCAGATGAGTCAAGTCGAAGTTGATGCCGGAATTGACGTAAGTAACTGTCGATCTGATGTTCGAAAGTTATTGTCGGTTGTAAGAAATCATAGCGGAAACATTTCAAGAAAATTAAGTTAAAATAAACAACAAAGAATCACAAAATAACAAAGTTGTGTCGGAGCAAAACGGAGCCATACAGTACGGAGCCATACAGACGGAGCCATACAGTACGGAGCCATACAGTACGGAGCCATACAGTACGGAGCCATACAGTACGGAGCCATACAGACGGAGCCATACAGTACGGAACCATACAATACGGAGCCATACAGTACGGAGCCATACAGTACGGAGCCATACAGTACGGAGCCATACAGTACGGAGCCATACAGTACAGAGCCATACAGTACGGAGCCATACAGTACGAAGCCATACAGTACGGAGCCATACAGACGGAGCCATACAGTACGGAGCCATACAGTACAGAACCATACAGTAAGGGGAGCCATACAGTACGGAGCCATACAGTACAGAGCCATACAGTACGGAGCCATACAGTACGGAGCCATACAGTACGGAGCCATACAGTACGGAACCATACAGTACGGAGCCATACAGTACGGCCGCCATACAGTACGGAGCCATACAGTACGGAGCCATACAGTACGGAGCCATACAGACGGAGCCATACAGTACGGAGCCATACAGTACGGAGCCATACAGTAAGGAGCCATACAGACGGAGCCATACAGACGGAGCCATACAGTACGGAGCCATACAGTACGGAGCCATACAGTACGGAGCCATACAGTACGGAGCCATACAGTACGGAACCATACAGTACGGAGCCATACAGTACGGAGCCATACAGTACGGAGCCATACAGTACGGAACCATACAGTACGGAGCCATACAGTACGGAGCCATACAGTACGGAGCCATACAGTACAGAGCCATACAGTACGGCGCCATCATAAATGTGATTCTAAGGTCATTGCTTGTTTCCAATCACCACACTAGCACTTAGAAGCAATGTATTGTAGCAAATGAAATCAACGTTTAATGGTCATGTGCACAGGTTACATGAACCAGTCGCTGTCCAGTCATACACACAGGCCTTTTCTGACAGTATCCATTAATTCTGCAGTAGCCCAGAGCACCAGAAGCTAACAGAAGCAAACCCTCTGTCTGTCTGTACTCTGTAATTGTCCAGAAGGGAACAGTCTGTCTGTAAAGTGCGCATGGAAGCAGTGACTCAGCCCTTCCGTCTGCCTTCCTCCCTCTCTCCGGCCTTAGACACGGCCCACATTGTCTGCCTCCCAAATGGCACCCTATTCCCTACATGGTGCACTACTTTAAACCAGAGAATGGCACCCTATTCCCTATATAGTGCACTACTTTAGACCAGAGAATGGCACCCTATTCCCTATATAGTGCACTACTTTAGACCAGAGAATGGCACCCTATTCCCTACATGGTGCACTACTTTAGACCAGAGAATGGTACCCTATTCCTTACATAGTGCACTACTTTAGACAAGAGAATGGCACCCTATTCCTTACATGGTGCACTACTTTTGACCAGGAGACCCAAGAGAAATGGCTTTTCCTTCATGGTCACTACTTTTTTTGACCCACGTGCCCTACTCGCATATAGCGCCTCCCCCTTTTCGGATCTCATGACACTTCACGCTGCTCCTCCCACGCAGATTCTCGTCCTTTCCCGTCTCAGCGCTGGCGGTCCTCCTCCCTCTAGTCCCTCCCCTACGCTCGACCCCATCTCTCTCCTCTTCTCTCTCTCTCTCTCTCCTCCGCTCCTCTCTCTCTCCTCATCTCTCTCTCTCTCTCTCTCTCTCTCTCTCTCTCTCTCTCTCTCTCTCTCTCTCTCTCTCTCTCTCTCTCTCTCTCTCTCCCTCTGTCTGTTGTGTCTTTCAGCAATCCTCAACCCCAAGCAGCCCAAAGAGAACAAGAGCTTCAATTTTGATTACTCCTACTGGTCCCATACCTCGGTAAGTACCTGTACCTCTGACTGACCGCAGTTTTACAGCACCACTGCTGATGTCATACTACGCGGTAATCCTTTATTAAAGGTCTTTGATTACATTTGACATGCACACCATTTGATATGATTGTGCATTTTAAATCTGGTCATATTAATAGAAAAAGACGGCACTTGTCTTTTTTATACAAGTCGGATTACCCCTGGGCTACAGAACCCAGAGACACAGATTACCCCTGGGCTACAGAACCCAGAGACACAGATTACCCCTGGGCTAAAGAACCCAGAGACACAGATTACCCCTGGGCTACAGAACCCATAGACACAGATTACTCCTGGGCTACAGAACCCAGAGACACAGATTACTCCTGGGCTACAGAACCCAGAGACACAGATTACCCCTGGGCTACAGAACCCAGAGACACAGATTACCCCTGGGCTAAAGAACCCAGAGACACAGATTACCCCTGGGCTACAGAACCCAGAGACACAGATTACCCCTGGGCTACAGAACCCAGAGACACAGATTACCCCTGGGCTACAGAACCCAGAGACACAGATTACCCCTGGGCTAAAGAACCCAGAGACACAGATTACCCCTGGGCTACAGAACCCAGAGACACAGATTACCCCTGGGCTACAGAACCCAGGGACACAGATTACCCCTGGGCTACAGAACCCAGAGACACAGATTACCCCTGGGCTACAGAACCCATAGACACAGATTACCCCTGGGCTAAAGAACCCAGAGACACAGATTACTCCTGGGCTACAGAACCCAGAGAAACAGATTACCCCTGGGCTACAGAACCCAGAGACACAGATTACTCCTGGGCTACAGAACCCAGAGAAACAGATTACTCCTGCGCTACAGAACCCAGAGACACAGATTACCCCTGGGCTACAGAACCCAGGACACAGATTACCCCTGGGCTACAGAACCCATAGACACAGATTACTCCTGGGCTACAGAACCCAGAGACACAGATTACCCCTGGGCTACAGAACCCAGAGAAACAGATTACCCCTGGGCTAAAGAACCCAGAGACACAGATTACCCCTGGGCTACAGAACCCATAGACACAGATTACTCCTGGGCTACAGAACCCAGAGACACAGATTACTCCTGGGCTACAGAACCCAGAGACACAGATTACCCCTGGGCTACAGAACCCAGAGACACAGATTACTCCTGGGCTACAGAACCCAGAGACACAGATTACCCCTGGGCTACAGAACCCAGAGACACAGATTACTCCTGGGCTAAAGAACCCAGAGACACAGATTACCCCTGGGCTACAGAACCCAGAGACACAGATTACCCCTGGGCTACAGAACCCAGGGACACAGATTACCCCTGGGCTACAGAACCCAGAGACACAGATTACCCCTGGGCTACAGAACCCATAGACACAGATTACCCCTGGGCTAAAGAACCCAGAGACACAGATTACTCCTGGGCTACAGAACCCAGAGAAACAGATTACCCCTGGGCTACATAACCCAGAGACACAGATTACTCCTGGGCTACAGAACCCAGAGAAACAGATTACTCCTGCGCTACAGAACCCAGAGACACAGATTACCCCTGGGCTACAGAACCCAGGGACACAGATTACCCCTGGGCTACAGAACCCATAGACACAGATTACTCCTGGGCTACAGAACCCAGAGACACAGATTACTCCTGGGCTACAGAACCCAGAGACACAGATTACCCCTGGGCTACAGAACCCAAAGACACAGATTACCCCTGGGCTAAAGAACCCAGAGACACAGATTACCCCTGGGCTACAGAACCCATAGACACAGATTACTCCTGGGCTACAGAACCCAGAGACACAGATTACCCCTGGGCTACAGAACCCATAGACACAGATTACTCCTGGGCTACAGAACCCATAGACACAGATTACTCCTGGGCTACAGAACCCAGAGACACAGATTACTCCTGGGCTACAGAACCCAGGGACACAGATTACCCCTGGGCTACAGAACCCAGAGAAACAGATTACCCCTGGGCTACAGAACCCAGAGACACAGATTACTCCTGGGCTACATAACCCAGAGAAACAGATTACCCCTGGGCTACAGAACCCAGAGACACAGATTACCCCTGGGCTAAAGAACCCAGAGAAACAGATTACCCCTGGGCTACAGAACCCAGAGACACAGATTACCCCTGGGCTAAAGAACCCAGAGACACAGATTACTCCTGGGCCACAGCACCCAGAGAAACAGAGTTGAGAATATCATATTTAGGATTGTCATATAAGTAGAAAACAACAAAAACAATGAATCCAACTTGTAGTGGTGTCTTGGTTAATCACGTTGATGGATGTTTATCTAACCCTACACATTCTCCCTCCACAGCCCGAGGACATCAACTTCGCTGGCCAGCAGCAGGTGTACAAGGACATTGGTGAGGAGATGCTGCTCCATGCATTCGAGGGATACAACGTCTGTATCTTTGCCTATGGCCAGACCGGATCTGGGAAGTCTTACACCATGATGGGCAAGCCGGACTTGAAGGACCAGGAAGGCATCATCCCTCTGGTACGCGGCGTATACTGTTACCTCCACACCAAGGGTTGCAAAATTCCAGTCACTTTTTTGAATATTCCCTGGTTTTCCTGGTTGGAACGTTCCCAGAATAAGGATGGAATAAGCAGGAAATCCGGAATCTTCCAACCAGAATTGCTGGAAAACCAGGGAATTTTCGGGAAAGTTACCGTAATTTTGCAACCCTACCAATCCAACACCTGGCTATCCATGGCTGAACACAATGTTACACAAAACCCATCTAGGGACGGGTGTTGGAAATTAGCGTAAGCTATATTTTGGTGCAACACATGGGATGGTTGTTTATTCAATGTGTACAGATAAACCATATGTAAATTGATAATACATGTTCACTGCAAACCCTCTGCTCTCTCGCTCCTCCTAGATGTGTGAAGACCTCTTCACCAAGTTCAACGACAGCAATAACGACAACACCAAGTCCTACTCAGTGGAGGTACGTACAGTATGGGTCCCCCACTGCCCGTCGGGTCACATCCTGTCTTCCTGTAAGGGTCCACTTCCTCTCACTATGGCTTTTTCTCAATTCTTTCATTCTTTCCTCAATTCTTAGCATTCACTCTCCTTGCATCCTTCTCAAAACACATTGGATCTGTAGATCCATAGTGCCTCCAAGAATATGAGGAGGGAGGACATGAGGAATGTAGGAAAGACGAAATGAGAAAGAACCTGTGGGAGATGTGACCCTTTGTTTTTTTTTTTTTTTTTTTTTTTTTTTTTGTGACATCTACTGTGCTCTAACCCTTTATTCCCCTCCCTCCCTCCCTCCCTCCCTCCCTCCCTCCCTCCCTCCCTCCCTCCCTCCCTCCCTCCCTCCCTCCCTCTCTCCCTCTCTCCCCTCCCCCACTCCCCCCCCTCCCTCCCTCCCTCCCTCCCTCCCTCTCTCCCTCTCTCCTCCTCCCTCCCTCCCTCCCTCCCTCCCTCCCCCCCCTCCCTCCCTCCCCCCTCCCTCCCCTCCCCCCCTCCCTCCCTCCCTCCCTCCCTCCCCCCCTCCTCCCTCCCTCCCTCCCTCCTCTGTAGGTGAGCTACATGGAGATCTACTGTGAGCGTGTGCGTGACCTCCTGAACCCTAAGAACAAGGGGAACCTGCGCGTCAGGGAACACCCCCTGATGGGGCCATACGTAGAGGACCTGTCCAAGCTGGCTGTCACCTCCTACAACGACATCCAGGACCTCATGGACTCTGGAAACAAGGCCAGGTGAGTGGATGGATGATTAGATAGATAGATGTACAGTGTATGTATGGATGGGTGGATGGGTGAATGGGTGGGTGGGTGGGTGGTCGGTGGGATAGTGGATGGATGGGTGGGTGGGTGGGTGGGATAGTGGATGGATGGGTGGGTGGGTGGGTGGGTGATGATGGGTGGGTGGGATGGGTGGATGAATGGGGTGGGTGAATGGGTGGGTGGATGGGTGGGTGGGTGAGTGGGATAGTGGATGGATGGGTGGGTGGGTGGGTGAATGGATGGGTGGGTGAATGGGTGGGTGGTGGGTGGGTGGGGTGGGTAAATGGATGGGTGGGTGAATGGGTGGATGAATGGGTGAATGGTGGGTAAATGGATGGGTGGGTGAATGGGTGGATGAATGGGTGAATGGTGTGGGTGGGTGGGCTGAGGATGGATGGCTGGATGTGGCTGGATGGTACTGGCTGCTGGATGGCTGGACTGGATGGATGGATGGATGGATGGATGGATGGATGGATGGATGGATCAATTAATCAATCAATGGGTGGGTGGGTGGGTGGGTGGGGGTAGATGGATGGATGAACGGATGGATGGATGGATTAAGGATGGATAGATGATATATGATGGCCATGGGTTTTATTCTATGGGGTGATGGGGTTTCTCAGTAGTTCAAATGGGGTTTTATTCTAAAGATGTAGGCTTTGTTCCAATATCCACACTAGCAATACCACTTAGACTCGGGCAATACATTGAGCCTGCATTCGAAGTGGAACATAGTCTCTGCTTGAGAAGGTTTGGTTTGAGTCCCAAATGTCTCTCTATAGTGCACTACTTTTGACCAGGGTCCATAGGGGATAAGGTGCCATTTGGGATGCGGCCTTGGTGAGATGCAGTTTCCACACTGTACCATGTTGGCCGTGAATTAATATAATCATTATTTACACAGCTTTGTGTCCATGAGGGAATTTACTGCATGAGAAGACTTGAACTAACAGACCAGAATAGATCAAATTTACATTGAGTTCATTAACTAACACATTAAAGACATGGTGGAGTAGAGTGGAAACGGATAGACGGGAAAACTAGGATACTCCAGCAGATAGACGAGACAAAATATGCATTTCAATTATCAGACAAACAAAGCAACAATGAATGATTTGAAGTTCCAGACTTGTCCATGCTGCAACATATTGGAACCAAATTCCATAGCTCTGTCAATAATAAAACGACTCAGTGATTCATTCGTCAATTTATTAATCAACCGATTTCTCTATATCTGGCAGTTCAGTCACCTTGAAATCTCCATTGACTTTACTAACGTGCACCATCCTGATCTGTAGCTGTTCACACAGTCGGTGGAGATACATCAGTGCTGCTTTTCCCAGTCAGACAGCTCTGTGCTCTGTCCATCCATCCACCCCTCCACTGAGGCGTCAGGATCGAACAGTGTATATTTCATCACAATGTGAAAAAAATATAAATGGTTGTATTGCACTGCAACTCTCTACCTCATTATATTACCCACTGCTGCTGGGGGCAGTGCTTTAGCCTCCCTACAAATTACCACATAGTCTCCTGACTCATTAGCTCTAAGCTAGCCACAGCAATTAAACAGTAGCGGAACCAGTCGCTGATGAACCGGCTTAAAAAACGCCTCAAATTTAATTGCAACGCGTCATTAGGAAGATGATAATTGATGTTTTGGTTGCTAGAGAGCGTTAGGGGAAATTAGCTTTTAATTTATCTGTCATTTTGGCTTATTTTATTGCTCTTTAATTCTTGCGCCCCGAAATAAAACTGTTCACTATGGAGGTTTCTGTGCTTTATTATCAAAGACGGATCTTTGATCTCAGATGACTCAGCCATTTCGGTTGTTGTTCTTCTTCTGTCTCAATGTGAGTAGAGTTCGCTAGTGTTTTACATCACACAGTAGGTGCTGTACATACCGTAGAGAAATATAATCTATAGAAAGGGGTGGGAACCTCTAACCTTGGAAATTTGACTGGTAAACTCACGGGGGTAGTTTCTGTGGTGTTTCATCATGCAGTATGCTCTGTCCTGTTCAGTGGGGCACAAAGGACAGGATTTGTGTTTCTTATTGGACAAGTCCAGGAAAGTTAGTCCCTGTTTCAGTCAGTTTTCCTCTGTTTGGTACCTAGTGAACATGACCCAACATTCTCTTCTTCTTCAGGACGGTGGCGGCCACCAACATGAACGAGACTAGCAGTCGCTCCCACGCGGTGTTCAACATCATCTTCACCCAGAAACGCCTCGACGCTGAGACTGATAACACCTCGGAGAAGGTAGGGGGCGCCGTCTCAGCTTGAGAGGTCTCTATTCATAAACAGTACAATAAAATGCAACCAGAGCTGAATATCCTCCTGTATTCCCTCCTCCTGTCCTCTCTCCTCACGTCCTCTCTCCTCCTGTATGCTCTCCTCCTGTATTCTTTCCTCACATCTCTCTCCTCCTGTATTCTCTCCTCACGTCCTCTCTCCTCCTGTATTCTCTCCTCCTGTATTCTCTCCTCACGTCCTCTCTCCTCACGTCCTCTCTCCTCCTGTATTCTCTCCTCACGTCCTCTCTCCTTGATGCTGTATTATCTCCATACACGTCCCGTCTGCTCCTGTATTCTCTCCTCACGCCTTTCCTCACGTCTCTCTCCTCTGTATTCTCCCTCCACATCCTCTCTCTCCTGGATTCTCTATAACTGGCTCTCTCATCCTGTATCTATCCCTGTATTCTCTCCTCACGTCCTCTTCCCGTCCTCTCTCTCCGTTATTCTCTCCTCATGTCCTCTCTCCGTCGGTATTCTCTCCTCACGTCCTCTTCCTCAACGTCTCTCTCCTCATGTATTCTCTACTCACGTTCCTCCTCCTCCTGTATTCTCCACCTGATTCTCTCCTCAAGGCCTCTCTCCTTCACTCACGTCCTCTCTCATCCGTATTCTCGTCCTACGTCCTCTCGCCCATGTATTCTCTCATAATGTCCTCTATCATCACGTCCGCCTCACATCATGTATTCTCTCCTACTGTCCTCTCTCCTCATGTCCTCTCTCCTCACGTCCTCTCTCCTCAGTACCTCTCTTCACGTCTCCTTCCTACCTGAATTCTCCCTCACGTCCTCTCTCCTCTGTATTAGTCTCCTCAAGTCATCTCTCCTCCTGTATTCTCTACTCCTGATTCTCTCCTCACGTCCTCTCTCCTCACGTCCTCTCTCCTCCTGTATTCTCTCCTCACGTCCTCTCTACTCCTGTATTCTCTCCTATGTTCCTCTCGCCTCCACGTACTCTACACTCTGTATTCTCTACCTAAGGTCCTCTTCTCCTCATGTACATGTTCTTCTCCTCACGTCCTATATAATCAGTCCTCTCTTTCACTCCTATCTTCCAGTGGCCTGTATCTGTCGCATTTTCTTAGTTCGTCTAAGTTCTGAGTATCTGTCATTTGTGTATTCTGCTCTTGTCCTTCATGTCCTCTCTACTCCCTGTATCTCTCGAATGTCCTCTCTCCTCCGGATCTCTTCCTCCTGTATTCTCTCCTCACGTCCTCTCTCTTCACGTCCTCTCTCCTCCTGTATTCTCTCCTCATGTCCTCTCTCCTCACGTCCTCTCTCTTCACGTCCTCTCTCTTCACGTCCTCCTTCCTCCTGTGTTCTCTCCTCATGTCCTCTCTCCTCATGTCCTCTCTCCTCCTGTATTCTCTCCTAATGTCCTCTCTCCTCCTGTATACTTTTGAGATTCATCCCAGCTCTCTTAGCTGCTTGAACTCTTTGACTTTAAGCCCATTGAAAAAAGATATTCATCGCTGCTTTTATCAGCGCTTGCATCCAGTGGTGGGGCTGCCACTTGCCTCTGAGTCTGAGGGCACTTGATAATGTGTCTGTGTCATTGTGAGGGAGGATGTCTAGCGCCAACTGTTGAATGAATTAGTGTGAGAATAAATTACTTTAGCTGCGTTTTCAGTCAGCTCATGCATTTCCCTGCACAACCATTGACGTTTCTGTCACAGGTCAGCAAAATCAGCCTGGTGGATTTGGCCGGCAGCGAGAGGGCCGACTCCACAGGAGCTAAAGGGACCCGGCTCAAGGTGAGACTTTCTCCCTCCTATCCCTCCTCCTCCTCCTCCTCCTCCTCTTCCTTTCCCTCCTCTTCCTCCTCTTCCTCCTCTCCCTCCTCTCCCTCCTCTTCCTCCTCTCCCTCCTCTCCCTCCTCTTCCTCCTCTCCCTCCTCTTCCTCTTCCTCCTCCTCCTCTTCTTCTCCCTCTGCCTCTCTGTCGCATAGTTTTCAAGTTTTCAGTCTATTTGTCATGTGTAATGAATACATTTTAAAATCTTGCAATCTTATATACTGCTGGCAGTGAGGACCCCTATACCTAGGGGGTATATTGGTGAATTGATTGAGTTGCTGTTGATCATATTGACCATGTTGACCATGTTGACCATATTGACCATGTTGACCATGTTGACCATGTTGACCAAATTAACCAAATTGACCATGTTGACCATATTGACCATATTGACCATGTTGACCATGTTGACCAAATTAACCATGTTGACCACGTTGACCATATTACTTCTTGACTTCCATTGACATGCTACAGGAAGGAGCGAACATCAACAAATCACTGACCACTCTGGGGAAAGTAATCTCTGCTTTGGCCGAAGTGGTACGAATCATTTTTTATATAATAAAGAAAACATGCATCATTCTTTTTTTTTTCTTTTTTTTTTACAATATAGGATGGAAATTAAAGTTTCTCTTTTATTATTCACTTTGTAGGATTCTGCAGGAAATAAGAACAAGAAGAAGAAGAAAGTGGAGAGTCACATCCCTTACAGAGACTCTGTGTTGACCTGGCTACTGAGAGAGAATTTAGGTAGGAACCAATAATCTGGCTACTGAGAGAGAACTTAGGTAGGAACCAATAATCTGGCTACTGAGAGAGAATGTAGGTAGGAACCAATAATCTGGCTACTGAGAGAGAATTTAGGTAGGAACCAATAATCTGGCTACTGAGAGAGAATTTAGGTAGGAACCAATAATCTGGCTTCTGAGAATGAGAATTTGGGTAGGAACCAATAATCTGGCTTCTGAGAGAGAATTTAGGTAGGATCCAATAATGTATACACAAATATATGTTCATGGTATGAACCTCTGCATTTCCTTCCTAACTCCTCCACGCTCACTGAGGAGCCCGTTCCTTTGTTGCTTTATCAGCTGAAGCAACGTACAATCAGCCTAGTTTATTAACTTGGTAAAGACAGCTATTATAACCTCCTATTAGTCATACTGTATGTACAGAATGTAACAGATCCTCATTCATCTGATAGATCCTAATTCATCGAAGATCCTAATATCTAACTCTGTTTTGGGTAAGGGGGGAAAATGAATGCAAGGGTTGTGCCTAGTCCAAGCGACACAAATGACGGGGACTCTAAGAAAATCAGGAAAGGGACCAGAAAGGAGGAGGGGTCGCTATATATCTTTTACTCTCTCTCTATCTCAATCTATTATAGATTATATCTTAGTTTATGCTATAATTTAATTATTTTAATGTATTCTGTATTATATATTATTATATATATCATATACTATCGTATAAAATTATGGGATAGATGTTATCTGTATTAAAATCTGTTATAGTAATATGTCATCTATTCTTATCTCTGTTATCTCTTCTCTATCTCTATTCTCGTCTATAGCTGGCTAGATGATATAGCAGTCTAGGGAGATCGGTATATATGGATATCTTATAGTATATATCTATATAGTACTAGTCTACGATATAGATATGTAGCTGCTAGAGTAGAGATCGGATACCGAGAATTCAGCGAGAGAAGCTGCGAGGAGGATAGAGAGATAGAGAGAGAGAGCGAAGGAGGAGAGAGAGCGGGAGAGAGGGAGATCTCTCTGTCTCTCTCTATCTCTATGTCGCTCTGTTCTCTCTCTCTCTCTCCTCTCTCTCTCTCCTTCTCTCTCTCTCTCTCTTCTCTCTCTCTCTCGCTCTCTCTGTCTCTCTCTTTCTCTCTCTCTTCTCGCTCTTCTTCTCTCTCTCTACTCTCTCCTCTCTCTCTCTCTCTCTCTCTCTCTCTCCTCATCCTACCACACAGCAGCTGATCAATGATGAATTGAAGGACAAGACCTTGTAGAGAGACCTAGCTCATTATTGCATAACGACATATTATGCTTTCCTCAGTGGGCTTGTTCCCTGTGCCAGCTTCACTCTTCAAACACCCTTCGAAGTTGCAGCTGCAGTGTTAGACTGCTGAATGGGGTAATCGGGTATCCATTCAGGAGATGCAACTTGTGTGTGTGTGTGTGTGTATGTGTGTGTCTATGTGTGTGTGTGTGTGTGAGTGTGTGTGTGTGTGTGGTGTGTGTGTGTGTGTGTGTGTGTGTGTGTGTGTGTGTGTGTGTGTGTGTGTGTGTGTGTGTGTGTGTGAGACTAGGTCTCATCATGCCATTGTTCCTTTCCCCCTCTACAGGTACGCAGACCGAGCCAAACAGATTCGCTGTAATGCTGTGATCAACGAGGACCCGAACAATCGATTGGTCCGTGAGCTGAAGGAGGAGGTGGGTCGTCTGAGGGACCTGCTCCTATCCCAGGGCCTGGGAGACATCCTTGAGAGTAAGGGCTCGTCCAATGGGCTGGCCTGGCCTTACACCGCCATTTTAACTTCATTCTGTAATCATGATAGGTGTAGCTACGGTTGCGAAATTCTGGTGACTTTTCCCAAAATTCCCAGGTTTTCCAGAAAGATTCTGGAATCGGCAGGGAGTGAGCAGGAAATCCAGATTCCTCCAACCAGGATTCCTGGAAAACCTGGGAATTTGGAGAAAGTTACTGGAATTGTGCAAAAATCATTAGCTATTTACTCACTGTCCCCCCAATCTCTCTCTCTCCTGCCCACCTCCTCGGCACTCACAGTTTCCGCTCGCTTTCCGTCCTCTTTGCTCACTTCACACTCTCTCACAAACCTCCTTCAGTCTGTGTGTTAACAGAAGAGTGTGTGGATCAGTCTAACTCACTCTCCTTGCTTACCCTCTTGTGCGTGACTAGTGAGTTTCAATGGCAAATTAGGCTGCAAACAACCAAGCATATTAATTAAACTCAGGGAATGATTGAACCAAGACGGTACTTAGTAATAAAACAAGTCTGATTGCTACGTTTTATTATCTGTCACACATTCCTAGTTATATGTACATATCTACCTCAATTACCTCGTACCCCTGCAGATCGACTCGGTACTGGTACCCTGTGTATTGGGGCGGCAGGTAGCTTAGTGGTTAAGAGCGTTGTGCCAGTAACTGAAAGGTCGCTGGTTCTAATCCCCGAGCCGACTAGGTGAAAAATATGTCGATGTGCCCTTGAGCAAGGCACTTAACCCTAATTGCTCCTGTAAATCGCTCTGGATTAGAGCATCTGCTAGATGACTAAAAAAATAAATAATTATATATATATAGCCAAGTTATCGTTACTCATTGTGTATTTATTATTACTTTTCCATTATTTCTAAATGTTCTTTCTCTCTGCGTTGTTGTGAAGGGCCTGTAAGCATTTCACTGTAAGTCTACACCTGTTGTTTACGAAGCATGTGACAAATACAATTTGATTTGATATACAACAACCTAAGCTGCCATTGAAAACAGTACCTGTGTGGTTCTACAACCGTGGTTAGCAGCAACAGAATGTTGGCAGCACCAGTATGTTAGCAGCACCAGAATGTTAGCAGCACCAGAATGTTAGCAGCACCAGAATGTTAGCAGCACCAGAATGTTGGCAGCACCAGTATGTTAGCAGCACCAGTATGTTAGCGGCACCAGTATGTTAGCGGCACCAGAATGTTAGCGGCACCAGAATGTTGGCAGCACCAGTATGTTAGCAGCACCAGTATGTTAGCAGCACCAGTATGTTAGCAGCACCAGAATGTTAGCAGCACCAGAATGTTGGCAGCACCAGTATGTTAGCAGCACCAGTATGTTAGCAGCACCAGTATGTTAGCAGCACCAGAATGTTAGCAGCACCAGAATGTTAGCAGCACCAGTATGTTAGCAGCACCAGAATGCTAGCAGCACCAGTATGTTAGCAGCACCAGAATGTTGGCAGCACCAGTATGCTAGCAGCACCAGTATGTTAGCAGCACCAGTATGTTAGCAGCAACAGTATGTTAGCAGCACCAGAATGCTAGCAGCACCAGAATGTTAGCAGCACCAGTATGTTAGCAGCACCAGAATGCTAGCAGCACCAGTATGTTAGCAGCACCAGAATGTTGGCAGCACCAGAATGTTGGCAGCACCAGTATGTTAGCAGCACCAGTATGTTAGCAGCACCAGAATGTTAGCAGCACCAGTATGCTAGCAGCAGCAGTATGTTAGCAGCAGCTGTTCAGCTAACACTGAGTGAATGAGTTAGTCTCTCACTGTGTTCTCCTGTCTCTCACTGTGTTATCATGTCTCTCACTGTGTTCTCCTATCTCTCACTGTGTTCTCCTGTCTCTCACTGTGTTCTCCTGTCTCTCACTGTGTTCTCCTATCTCTCACTGTGTTCTCCTGTCTCTCACTGTGTTCTCCTGTCTCTCACTGTGTTCTCCTATCTCTCACTGTGTTCTCCTGTCTCTCACAGTGTTCTCCTGTCTCTCGCTGTGTTCTCCTGTCTCTCACTGTGTTCTCCTGTCTCTCACTGTGTTCTCCTGTCTCTCACTGTGTTCTCCTGTATCTCACTGTGTTCTCCTGTCTCTCACTGTGTTCTCCTTTATCTGTCTCCTTCTCTCCCAGCATACAAAGGGCCAGCGCTTGGCACTGACGTTGCTGGTTTGAAATGTGTGTTTCTATATCTCTCTACTGTGTCTTAGTTTGGCTTTTTACTGTTTCTCTCTCTCTCTCTCTCTCTCTACTGTTTCCATCTCTCTACTGTTTCTTGGTTTGGCTTTATGCTGTTTCTTTGGCTGTCCTCCGTACACTTCGCTCTGTGCAGCTTAGCGTCGACAGCTAGTTCTTATAGCTGTACTCTCTGCAGCACCAGATTAAGGACTAATCAGTGAGATAATCAAAGATTTTTGATATTGCCCAGGAAAATGTTGATCATCATCAATCATGTACACATGTATGTACCAAATCAATGTCTGGGCTTGTATAGTAGATGCTGTATCCTACAGACTACCGAGTGCAATAGAAGAAGAATGCAAAGATGCATTCAGATAATTAACTGTACATTTGAGTAGATTGATTCCCAGATGGATACAGACTAGGGCCTTAAAGCAACACCAGTAGGCTATGTTCATCTTACACTGAGTGACTGAGAGAATCTCTCACAGTGTTGTTCTCCTGTCTCTCTCCTCCTTTCTTTCTGTTTTCTCTCTTAGCGTACAAGGGGCTTCCTGGCACGGACGTTGCTGGTTTGAAATGTGTGTCAATGTTTCTTAGATCGTCTCTCTGCTGTTTGTTTTGGCCGTCCTCCGTACGCTTCGCTCCGCGCACCTTAGCACCGCCAGGACATGTGTTAATAGCTGTACTCTCTGCAGCACCAGAGTAATGACTGTGAGATCAGTGAGATAATCAAAGGTTATCAAAAATGCCAAGGAAAAATATTGATCACGATCAATCATATGCACGTGGATGTATCAGACCAACAAGTAAATGGTTGCTTTAGGCAGACTTGCTATAGATGTCAGCCTGGTTTTTAATAGGCTATCTGCTAGAAAATACCTAATAGCTATTATATGCATTTCTGGGCGTGTACAGTAGATGCTGTATCCTCTGGGGCTGTAGAGATGCTCTTGTGGACTCGTCTCGTATGGCTTTAGCGCTGGTGTCCAGAGTTCAGGAAGGCGACCCTACAGCACTATGTTTTGTTTTCAGGCCTCACTTAGCCAGCTGTCACACAGCAAATATAGCCTTCAGACTACAGTAGAAGGAGAATGCTCTGATGCGTTTTAGGGCGGCAGGTAGCTTAGTGGTTAAGAGCGTTGTGCCAGTAACCAAAAGGTCGCTGGTTCTAATCCCTGAGCCGACTAGGTGAAAAATCTGCTGATGTGCCATTGAGCAAGACACTTAACCCTAATTGCTCCTGTAAGTCGCTCTGGATAAGAGCGTCTGCTAAATGACATAAAATGATTAACTGTATTTTTTTTAGTAGAATACTGTTCCCAGATGGATGTCTGAGTGACAAACCAGGGCCCTTAAAGCACTGAGCAGATGTATCATACTGTTACTGTATGCTTAGCTCACTGGTACACAGCACGCTCCCATTCCCCTGACTGATTGGCAGACAGGCCTGTCTGTGCTGGAGCGCCATAGATTATATGTGTGGCACTGAGTTTGTAGTTATCGCCCCCTACTGGCTGTTCACTGTGCTGTAGGTATCGCCCCCTACAGGCTATTCACTGAGCTGTAGTTATCGCCCCCTACTGGCTGTTCACTGTGCTGTAGTTATCGCCCCCTACTGGCTGTTCACTGTGCTGTAGTTATCGCCCCCTACTGGCTGTTCACTCATCTGTAGCTATCGCCCCCTACTGGCTGTTCACTGAGCTGTAGCTATCGCCTCCTACTGGCTGTTCACTGAGCTGTAGCTATCGTCCCCTACTGGCTGTTCACTGAGCTGTAGCTATCGCCCCCTACTGGCTGCTCTTAGAACCTCAGGCTATGGGAGGAACTATATCAGACTTGGGATATCATAACCTTAGCAGGACCGAGTTTGGGAAACCCCGACCTAAGGAAATGTTTGAGGGGCTCTATGCAGCACCCTTAAACAACCCCCATAGGTAAGGGGCAATGATTCCTTAAGGGAAACACTTAATACGTTTTTTTATGCAACCGCGCCCAGCTGTCCATTATATCACCGGAAATGGGTGTTTTGCCTACTGTGTTTCATACCAGTATTACCAAACAGATGGCCACCAACACTAGGGTGCTGGAAGTGTTATATGTGTATCATCTTGACTGGCAGTGGCACCAGAAAGGATCCAGACTCTCTTGGTTTTCTGCCATTCAGTGTCCTACTTTGACTCTCGGCGTTGGTATAGCAACCTACCTACCTACCTGCCTGCAGTGCTGAGACTCATCGTTCCCTAAAAGGTTACAGATACCTTTTCGCTGTATTGTGCACTGTGATAAATTCATAGACTGTGAAAAGTGTGGAAGAGTTTTGAAACAAATTCTGAAACAAAATCACCTCTATTTTGGTGTGATGAATCTATTAGTAAAATCTTTGATTGACAAGTAATTTTCCTCATCTTATACAGTCCATGGTTACTTCCCAAATGGCACCCTAATCCCTACTTAGTGCCCTATAGGGGCCCTGGTCAAAAGTAGTGCACTACATAGGGGATAGGGTGCCATTTGGGACGCCCCGTGTTCTAAATGGTTATCGGTGAGACCTTCCTTCCGTTCTGAAGTGTAGTACTGTGGATAGAGATCTGTAAGGAAACCACAGCCCTCCCTCTCTGAAGTGTAGTACTGTGGATAGAGATCTGTAAGGAAACCACAGCCCTCCCTCTCTGAAGTGTAGTACTGTGGATAGAGATCTGTAAGGAAACCACAGCCCCCTCTGTGCAGTAAATGGTCTTCATGTGGGCTCTTCCCATGATTTAACAAATAATCTCAACCTCACGTTCAGCCCTTGTTCTATTTTGTTATCAGTTGCAGACCTCCGATTCCGCTCTGAAGTAGAAATGTATTTGCTGTTCCAGTAATGGGTTTGGTAATGGTGTTTTTTTTTACAGTAGCTGCTGGTGAAGCAGTCAGTGAACCTCACTAGCTTTTAGACGTCATCTGATATCCCCAGTAGTCGCTGCCAGTGCACCCCAGCACTCCCGCGTAGACGGTCCTTCTACGGTTCTTCCCATTGTGTTTCAGAATTGTACATCAGATTTCATTGACGGAGAGTAGTGATGCAACAAAGGGATGCAGGGATGTAGCTCAGTTGATAGAGCGTGGCGTTTGCAACGCCAGGGTTGTGGGTTCGATTCCCACAGGGGGTATGAAAAACATTTAAAAAATAATGTATGCACTAACTAACTGTAAGTCGCTCTGGATAAGAGCGTCTGCTAAATGACTAAAATGTAAAATGTAAATGTAAAGGACACCACTGCCCTGTCAGTAAAGTAAATGGTGTTTTGTGTGTGCTCTTCCCATGGTATTCCATCATTTGATTTATACAACGGGGTAGTTTAGATCCTGGATGCAGATTTGTTAATCCACAGGTAATGCCTGTTTGATACATATCATATTTCCTTGAAGGGTAGTTTGACAGAGACCTAGACCATATGGACTGAATAGTGCTTTTTGCTAACATGTGCTCACTATGCCAACTAACAATCACATTTCCTTTGGACTGTTTGATATTGGTCTGTGGATTGAATAGAGTCTATTGCTAACAAAGCATGTAGTATGATGCGATAGGGAACTAACCTCAGCACCTTCAGGAAGGGGCGTCCGTGTTGAATTGAGGATGATTCTGAATGGCCTTACTGACTGATAACGCTTTGCTTGAAGCTTGACGGCATATTTTGGGATTTGGCTTGACGTTAGGTCTTTTTCTTTCATGACTAGCCCCTCCAGTCGCTTTGTATGACCATACTGCTATATCTTTTATGTTCTTCTTTTTTTTGTGTGGCTTTCTGCATACAAGGGCTGCTCCTGTCTTCTCTTCCTTGTGTCTTTCTTACTCGCAGTTAAAGTTTTGCTTTGTGTTTCAGATTCGCTTCATGTCTTCTTCTTCTTCTTCTTCTTCTTCTCTATTTTTCCTTCTCCTCTCGTCCTTTTCTGTCCGCTTCTCTCCGCTACTCTCCGTCTCTCTTACCTCCCTGTTCCTGCGCTATCCCCACTTCCTGTCCACCCCCCCCCCCCCCCCCCGTTTCCTCTGCCCCGCACCCTCCCCTGACAGACCTATCCGATTTCAAGAACAATAACAATAATCGCCAAGCTGTCAATCAAAAGGATGATCTCTCCACAGTGACCAATGCCATGACGGGGATGAGCCCCTCCCCCTCTCTGTCCGCCCTGTCCAGTCGAGCCGGATCAATCGCCAGCCTCCACGACCGCATCATGTTCAGCCCCGGCAGTGAGGAGGCCATCGAGAGACTCAAGGTGAACTGATCACTTGATTGATGTATTTATTTATGCAGTGATTCATTACAGTCATACATAATTCCCCCTGTCCCACATATTGAACATAGACACGGGGGGGGCACACCTTTTTGTTACACCCTCCGATATGAATATTTTTGAGATTTCATCAGGAAACAGAGAAGATCATTGCTGAGCTCAATGAGACCTGGGAGGAGAAACTTCGCAGAACAGAAGCCATCAGAATGGAAAGGTGAGTAACTACCACTTCCACATCTCTATTTACAGTATAGATCTGCCTGCAGATAGTAAGGAAAGGCCCATACAGTCTTACAGTATAGATCTGCCTGCAGATAGTAAGGAAAGGCCCATACAGTATCCGGCTCCAAGGACCATGAAGAATAGGAGACCGTTGCATGGTTGGGGTCAATTCGAATTGAATTGAGTTAATTCAGGAAGTTAAATTAAATAATAAAAAAAGGGCTTTTATTTTTAATAACTTTTCAATAGTCCAAAAAGGAGAAACTATTTATTTCAAAAGTTTTTCATTTTTACATTTTAAATTGAAATCACTTCCTCAATTGACTGACTTCAATTTGAATTGACCCCCAACCCTGGGCCATTGTACAACTGTCCCTTCTCTTCCACAGAGAGGCCCTGCTGGCGGAGATGGGCGTGGCCATGAGGGAAGACGGAGGAACCGTGGGCGTGTTCTCCCCCAAGAAGGTAAGACAGCAACACATTAACAAACATCCTTTAACAGGTCAGCTAATCAGGTCAGGTTAGGGTTAGGTTTAGGTTTAGGTTAGGGTTAGGTTTGGGTTAGGGTTAGTGTTAGGTTTAGGTTAGGGGTTAGTGTTAGGTTCGGTTAGGGTTAGGTTAGGGGTTAGTGTTAGGTTCGGTTAGGGGTTAGTGTTAGGTTTAGGTTAGGGGTTAGTGTTAGGTTCTGTTAGGGTTAGGTTAGGGTTAGGTTAGGGTTAGGGTTAGGGTTAGGGTTAGGTTAGGTTTAGGTTAGGGGTTAGTGTTAGGTTCGGTTAGGTTTAGGTTAGGTTTAGGTTAGGTTAGGTTAGGTTAGGTTAGGTTAGGTTTAGGTTTAGGTTTAGGTTAGGGGTTAGTGTTAGGTTCGGTTAGGGTTAGGTTAGGTTTAGGTTAAGGGTTAGTGTTAGGTTCGGTTAGGATTAGGTTAGGGTTAGGTTAGGGGTTAGTGTTAGGTTCGGTTAGGGTTAGGTTAGGGTTAGGTTAGGGTTAGGTTAGGGTTAGGTTAGGGTTAGGTTCGGTTAGGGTTAGGTTAGGTTTGTGTTAGGTTAGGTTAGGGTTAGGTTAGGTTAGGGTTAGGTTCGGTTAGGGTTAGGTTCGGTTAGGGTTAGGTTAAGTTTAGGTTAGGGGTTAGTGTTAGGTTCGGTTAGGGTTAGGTTAGGGTTAGGTTAGGGTTAGGTTCAGTTAGGGTTAGGTTAGGTTTGTGTTAGGTTCGGTTAGGGTTAGGTTAGGGTTAGGGTTAGGTTCGGTTAGGGTTAGGTTAGGTTTAGGTTAGGGGTTAGTGTTAGGTTCGGTTAGGGTTAGGTTAGGGTTAGGTTAGGTTCGGGTTAGGTTAGGGTTAGGTTAGTGATACTTTGCACTAGAGTGAAGTCAACATTTGGTACGTACCTATGTTCCTGAATGAGCGTTCAATGGAAAAGACAGGAAGTTCTCCCTCTGGGATTTATTCAACTCCGGATGTCCTCTATATTTTCAGTGGTTGAGCAAGTTAAATAGATATATACGTTTTATTTGATGCATTCATGTTGATTTACTTCCAAGCCCTCGTCATCAGAGCAGAGCAGAAAGCCTGAGGCTGTGTTCATAGACACAGTAGGACTGTTCTCACCCAATGAGGTTGGTCCTTCTGGAGTGTCCATCTTCCCATACTGAGTGGTCTGCTCTGTCTGGAGTGTCCATCTTCCCATACTGAGTGGTCTGCTCTGTCTGGAGTGTCCATCTTCCCATACTGAGTGGTCTGCTCTGTCTGGAGTGTCCATCTTCCCATACTGAGTGGTTCTGCTCTGTCTGCAGTGTACTCTACTCCTCTCTGAGTGCTTCACTAGACCGTGACCTTCACAGATCTTTCTGCTTCAACTCTCTTGTTTCTCATTCTGTTTGATTAAAGAGAGCATGCATCGACACAGGGTGTTTTGTCAGCCCATATTGAAATGTCGGAAATGTGAATACTTTATACCTTATCCAGAACTTTTCAGTTCTGCAAACATCGAAGGGTCAAGAGAATTGGGATAGGGGAGTGCTTTGGGACACAGCTGTGTGCCACTGATTTCCTGCCTTTCCCCGGTATGCCCTCCATCTCCCATTTCAGCATGTAGCTCTAATTGGAACCTGACTGTTATGTACAGCTTTATAGCAGGGGAGGAGATCAACCAACTTTTTCCATTTTCATTAAGTCTCCTTCTCTTAAAAAAGGACTTCGATTAATTTAGTCTTCTCCCTTTAAACTACTTCATTATTCAGAGCAAACGAAGCCGTCAGTGGTCAACTCTGCTTCAAGCTTCAACCAGCAGAGTGACGTAAAACACAGAGAAGCAAAACCATTCAGTTTATGAAAGATTTACATACGTTTGTGTTAGCTAGTTCGCCAACTGTTGTTTGATGGGTATAAACGACTCGCAAAGAGATGGCTATTAATCCCTAGGGTGTCTGACAATTTGTATTTCTTTAAACTCCTCATCTCCCACCTAAAGAGGGAGTCTCTGGTTGTCCACAATGGAACCCTGATCCCTACATAACGCACTATATGGGGCAATAAGGTTCAATTTGGGACGCATCCTCTGTGCTTCTCTACAGTGGCCTTGCGAAAGTATTCACCCCCCCACTTGGCATTTTTCCTTTTTTTGTTGCCTTACAACCTGGAATTAAAATTGGTTTTTTTGGGGGGGGTTTGTATCATTTGATTTACACAACATGCCTACCACTTTGAAATGCAACATGTTTTTTTTTGTGTGTGACACAAACAAGAAATAAGACCAAAATAAAAACAGAACTTGAGCGTGCATAACTATTCACCCCCCCCCAAAGTCAATACTTTGTAGAGCCACCTTTTGAAGCAATTACAGCTGCAAGTCTCTTGGGGTATGTCTCTGTAAGCTTGGCATATCTAGCCACTGGGATTTTTTTGCCCATTCTTCAAGGCAAAACTGCTCCAGCTCCTTCAAGTTGGATGGGTTCCGCTGGTGTACAGCAATCTTTAAGTCATACCACAGATTCTCAATTGGATTGAGGTCTGGGCTTTGACTAGGCCATTCCAAGACATTTAAATGTTTCCCCTTAAACCACTCTAGTGTTGTTTTAGCAGTATGCTTAGGGTCATTGTCCTGCTGGAAAGTGAACCTCCGTCCCAGTCTCAAATCTCTGGAAGACTGAAACAGGTTTCCCTCAAGAATTTCCCTGTATTTAGCGCCATCCATCATTCCTTCAATTCTGACCAGTTTCCCAGTCCCTGCCGACGAAAAACATCCCCACAGCATGATGCTGCCACCACCATGCTTCACTGTGGGGATGGTGTTCTCGGGGTGATGAGAGGTGTTGGGTTTGCGCCAGACATAGCGTTTTCCTTGATGGCCAAAAAGCTCAATTTTAGTCTCATCTGACCAGAGTACCTTCTTCCATATGTTTGGGGAGTCTCCCAGATGCCTTTTGGCAAACACCAAACGTGTTTGCTTATTTTTTCTTTAAGCAATAGCTTTTTTCTGGCCACTCTTCTGTAAAGCCCAGCTCTGTGGAGTGTACGGCTTAAAGTGGTCCTATGGACAGATACTCCAATATCCGCTGTGGTGCTTTGCAGCTCCTTCAGGGTTATCTTTTGTCTCTTTGTTGCCTCTTTGATTAATGCCTTCCTTGCCTGGTCCGTGAGTTTTGGTGGGCGTCCCTCTCTTGGCAGTTTGTTGTGGTGCCATATTCTTTCAATTTTTTAATAATGGATTTAATGGTGCTCCGTGGGATGTTCAAAGTTTCTGATATTTTTTTATAACCCAACCCTGATCTGTACTTCTCAACAACTTTGTCCCTGACCTGTTTGGAGAGTGGGGAGAACAACTATTTGATACACTGACGATTTTGCAGGTTTTCCTACTTACAAAGCATGTAGAGGTCTGTACTTTTTATCATAGGTACACTTCAACTGTGAGAGACGGAATCTAAAACAAAAATCCAGAAAATCACATTGTATGATTTTTAAGTAATTAATTTGCATTTAATTGCATGACATAAGTATTTGATCACCTACCAACCATTAAGAATTCCAGCTCTCACAGACCTGTTAGTTTTTCTTTAAGAAGCCCTCCTGTTCTCCACTCATTACCTGTATTAACTGCACCTGTTTGAACTCGTTACCTGTATAAAAGACACCTGTCCACACACTCAATCAAACAGACTCCAACCCCTCCACAATGGCCAAGACCAGAGAGCTGTGTATGGACATCAGGGATAAAATTGTAGACCTGCACAAGGCTGGGATGGGCTACAGGACAATAGGCAAGCAGCTTGGTGAGAAGGCAACAACTGTTGGCGCAATTTTTAGAAAATGGAAGAAGTTCAAGATGACGGTCAATCACCCTCGGTCTGGGGCTCCATGCAAGATCTCACCTCGTGGGGCATCAATGATCATGAGGAAGGTGAGGGATCAGCCCAGAACTACACAGCAGGACCTGGTCAATGACCTGAAGAGAGCTGGGACCACAGTCTCAAAGAAAACCATTAGTAACACATTACGCCGTCATGGATTAAAATCCTGCAGCGCACGCAAGGTCCCCCTGCTCAAGCCAGCGCATGTCTAGGCCTGTCTGAAGTTTGCCAATGACCATCTGGATGATCCAGAGGAGGAATGGGAGAAGGTCATGTGGTCTGAACCCAAAAGAAAATCTTTGGAGGGAGCTGAAAGTCCGTATTGCCCAGCGACAGCCCCGAAACCTGAATGATCTGGAGAAGGTCTGTATGGAGGAGTGGGCCAAAATCCCTGCTGCAGTGTGTGCAAACCTGGTGAAGACCTACAGGAAACGTATGATCTCTGTAATTGCAAACAAAGGTTTCTGTACCAAATATTAAGTTCTGCTTTTCTGATGTATCAAATACTTATGTCATGCAATAAAATGCAAATTAATTACTTAAAAATCATACAATGTGATTTTCTGGATTTTTGTTTTAGATTCCATCTCTCACAGTTGAAGTGTACCTATGATAAAAATTACAGACCTCTACATGCTTTGTAAGTAGGAAAACCCGCAAAATCGGCAGTGTATCAAATACTTGTTCTCCCCACTGTATATACTGAGATCATGTGACAGATCATGTGACACTTAGATTGCACACAGGTGGACTTTATTTAACTAATTATGTGACTTCTGAAGGTAATTGGTTGCACCAGATCTTATTTAGGGGCTTCATAGCAAAGGGGGTGAATACATATGCACGCACCACTTTTCTGTTATTTATTTTTTTGCTTTTTTGCTTTTTCATTTCACTTCACCAATTTGGACTATTTTGTGTATGTAAATAAAAATCCATTTAAATTACAGGTTGTAATGCAACAAAATAGGAAAAACGGCAAGGGGGATGAATACTTTTGCAAGGAACTGTATACAAAACCTTGCAGAGAGAGCCTGTCCAACTGACAATCTCTTTGAAAAAAATATAAACTATTGGAACAAAGATTTTAAAATAACTGATGTTGGCACAAGATGGAGGGAAATTTGGAGCGTAACAAAATTACAGGTAACGAAAATGTGCACAATTCTACAGCACAACGGCAGAGTCATGTCTCAAGTATAAAACTAACTGTAACTCAATAATCCATGCTTTCTGGGAACGCTATAAAGTCCTAAAGTTATGGGCGGAGTTAGAAAGCTGGCTGTCAGAAGTATTACAATGTAAATGTACTTTTAATTAATCTTTCTGAATATTTCAATACATGTCATATGGGGGTGCATTGAGATACCCAATGGGTATCTCATCACTCATTTTGAAAAAAAAACGTATACTTAAAAAACTTGGAAATCAATTCGCCATCATTAACACAATGGAATTTCATTGATTATTGAAATATTGAAATAGCATGGGCGACAGAGAAAAACAAATGGAATACAATTTAAGGACAAACAATAATGCAGACACTAGGGATGGGTGTGTGTGAGCGCGCGGGTCGGGGCAGAGGAGATGCAGTCATTGTTTGTTTGCGCCTGTAAGTTATTGTTCAAGATGTAGAAGTTTGTATATGGAGTAAAAATAAACAATAAAACCAAAACATGAAATTAGGTTTAACAAATAATATGACCACATTTGATACATTAGATGAGACAACAGGTAAATTAAGTCCTATGTGAACCCATAATAACCCTCCCTTCTGTAGACTCCTCACCTGGTGAACCTCAACGAGGACCCCCTGATGTCAGAGTGCCTGCTGTACTACATCAAAGATGGCATCACCAAGTAAGAGAGATGTTTTTTTTTTTTTTGTCGTTTGAGCAGACGCTCTTATCCAGAGCGACTTACAGAAGCAATTAGGGTTAAGCGCCTTGCTCAAGGGCACATGGACAGATTTTTCACCTAGTCGGCTCGGGGATTAGGACCAGCGACCTTGTTATAAGAATGTATGAGGCTTAACAATGGCTTATATGCTATGTTATGTATCTTTATGTAGAATATCACAAATTCGTACAATACCCTGACATTAGCTCCTTTCTTTCCCAGGGTTGGTCGTGTGGACGCCAGCAGCAGACAGGACATTGTCCTCAGTGGTCACTTCATCAAGGACGAACACTGTACCTTCACCTCCACAACGGGACCCATGGGAGAAGGTGAGATATTGGATCCTTCTGGGCGTCATGCTTTGGTTTAGTGATCTGGTTGAGAGGCTGGGAGTGTTTTTAATCGTTCATGTGGATACTGTCCCCGCGGCACAATTCTCTATTATTTTCCTTAAAGAGCACCATCTTACTTGGATTGAAAAGCAAGCATAGGATTGGTGTAGGAGACCATGCACAAACGCACACTTCAGGGAAAAGGGTGGATAATTAAGATATAATAATAATAAAATGCCATTTAGCAGACGCTTTTATCCAAAGCGCCTTACAGTCTTGTGCGCATACATTTTTACGTATGGGTGGTCCCGGGGATCGAACCCACTACCCTGGCGTTACAAGCGCCGTGCTCTACCAGCTGAGCTATAGAGGACCACGGGCAGTGTCTCTGACGGAGTACATCCCTCCCTCTGTCTGTCTCCCTTCTCCCCCAGTAGCAGTCACCCTGGAGCCCTGTGAGGGAGCTGAGACCTACGTCAACGGGAAGAGGGTCACAGAGGCTACAGTCCTCAAATCAGGTGGGTCAACTATCTGATCGCACTCCCGCTCTCGCACCTCGTCACTCCGATCGCCTCTACGTCGCGGCACCAGAACGCACCACCCAGAGTGCAAGATCTCACGACAGATGCCACTCCCGCGAAAGACCGTGAGACGAGAGAGCGAGACGAGAAAGAAACACACTCCCCCAGAGCAGAGGCGCGATATAGATAGCCGCTGCTAGAATAGAGCTCTCTCGCTCTCTCTCTCTCACTCATCCTCTCTCTCACTCACTTTCATCCCTCCGCTCTCTCTCTCTCTCTCTTTTCTCTCTCTTTTCCTGAGATCTCCTCTAGACTTTCCCACTGAATTTCTCCTGCTTCTCTTTTGTTCTTGTAACATTCTTCACTTCTATCCAGACATTTGTACCTGTCACTGAATGCTTTTTAAAATGTCTCTCTCTCTGCTTTTTGGATCAACCCTTCCTCCAGGGAACCGCATTATCCTGGGTAAGAGCCATGTGTTCCGGTTCAACCACCCAGAGCAGGCGCGCCAGGAGCGGGAGAGGACACCCTGCGTTGACACCCCCGTGGAGCCGGTGGATTGGGCCTTCGCACAGAGAGAACTGCTGGACAAACAGGGCATCGACATGAAGCAGGAGATGGACCAGAGGTGAGAGAGGAGAAGGGCAGGAAAGAGGCTAGTCATTACTGTAAGACAGAGGAGAGGGTTCAGAGGTGAGTGAGGGTGAGCTGAGATCTGTGGTTGTGAGTGAGAGAGAGTTGAGATGACATCTGTGGTTGTGAGTGAGAGAGAGTTGAGATGACATCTGTGGTTGTGAGTGAGAGAGAGTTGACATGACATCTGTGGTTGTGAGTGAAGGAGGTTGACATGACATCTGTGGTTTGTCTGTCTACAGGCTTCAGGAGCTGGAAGATCAGTATCGCAAAGAGAGAGAAGAGACACACAACCTCCTGGAACAGCAGAGGCTGGTGAGACCTATTCACAAACGGACAAAGGCCAGAAATGGACAAGATCATCAAAAATATTCACATTTTGTTTAACATTGAGTCTGAGTCTGAATTACGTTGAGTCTGAATCTTTTATAGTAAAGCTTGATCATGTGACCATTTCCACAGGATTATGAGAGCAAGCTGGAAGCCCTTCAGAAACAGGTGGACCGCTACTACCCTGAGGTAGCAGGAGAGGAAGAGGAGGAGCCTGAGGAGGAAGGTACATCATTGGTTACTGACTTTTATTTATACTACATGGCCAAGAGTATGTGGACTCCTGCTCGTTCCAAAATCATGGGCATTAATATGGAGTTGGTCCCCCCCCTTTGCTGCTATAACAGCCTCACTCTTCTGGGAAGGCTTTCCACTAGATGTTGGAACATTGCTGCAGGGACTTGCTTCCATTCAGCCACAAGAGCATTAGTGAGGTCATGTTGGGCGATTAGGCCTGGCTCGCAGTCGGCGTTCCAATTCATCCCAAAGGTGTTTAAAAGGGGTTGAGGTCAGGGCTCTATGCAGGCCAGTCAAGTTCTTCCACACCGGTATCGACAAACCATTTCTGTATGGACCTCGCTTTGTGCAAGGGGGCATTGTCATGCTGAAACAGGAAAGGGCCTTCCCCAAACTGTTGCCACAAAGTCGGAAGCACAGAATCGTCTAAAATGTCATTGTATGCTGTAGCGTTAAGATTTCCCTTCACTGGAACTAAGGGGCCTAGCCCAAACCATGAAAAACAGCCCCAGACCATTACTATGCATTGGGACAGGTAGCGTTCTCCTGGCATCCGCCAATCCCAGATTTGTCCGTCGGACTGCCAGATGGTGAAGCGTGATTCATCACTCCAGAGAACGCATTTCCAATGCTTCAGAGGCCAATGAGCTTGTGTTGCCTACAACTTTGCGGCTGAGCCGTTGTTGCTCTTAGACGTTTCCACTTCACAATAACAGCACTTACAGTTGACCGGGGCAGCTCTAGCAGGGCAGAAATTTGACAAACTGACTTGTTGGAAAGGTGGTATCCTATGACGGTGCCACGTTGAAAGTCACTGATCTCTTCAGTAGAGCCATTCTACTGCCAGTGTTTTATCTATGGAGATTGCATGGCTGTGTGCTCAATATTATACACCTGTCAGCAACGGGTGTGACTGAAAATAGCTGAATCCACTAATTTGAAGGGGTGTCCACATACTTTTAGTGTATGACAATCTGCATGTTTGAAGACATTGGCCCTGCGCAAGGCTCTGCTGATCTATAAATTACATTCAAATAGCTGCTCATTATGTGATCAAGATCCTGCCCTGCTCATGTCTATCCCCTTGTATGTACAGTATATATATATATATATATATCTCCTTGTGTTGATGTTGAGCTCAGTGAGACCTGGATGTTTGGTCACCTTGTTGTACCCTCTGCGCTCCACAGTGCAGTGGACGGAGAGGGAGACGGAGTTAGCCCTGTGGGGTTTCAGGAAATGGCGCTGTTACCAGTTCACCTCCCTCAGAGACCAGCTGTGGGGAAACGCCATCTTCCTCAAGGAGGCTAACGCCATCAGCGTGGAACTCAAGAAGAAGGTTTGAGAACGTTCAGCATGTTTTGTATCACCACAGAAGCATAACTTCTGTTTTTGTTTTCTTTCAAATGCTTTGAGTGTTTGATTGAGTCTGTCTGGAATGCCAGATGGGGTGATGTTCGCTAATACAATTTGAACACAGGTCCGCTGTGTTGTACTAACCCTGTGCCTGCCACCCCCCCAAACCCCCAAACCCCCCCCCCCGCCAGGTCCAGTTCCAGTTTGTGCTGCTGACCGACACCCTGTACTCCCCCCTGCCCACTGACCTGATGCCCCCTGAGGCAGCAAAGGACAGAGCGACCCGCCCGTTCCCCAGGACCATCGTAGCTGTGGAGGTACAGGACCAGAAGAACGGGGCCACACACTGCTGGACCCTGGACAAACTCAGGTACTGTAGTATTCTGTACTAAGCCAGATCCCAGGTTTAGTAGTCCATGTGGGATAATTACACCGAACAAAAATATAAACGCAACATGCAACATTTCAACGATTACAGTTCATATAAGGAAATCAGTCAATTGAAATACATTCATTAGGCCCTAATCTATGGGCAGGGGTGCAGCCACTGGTGAGCCAGGCCCGGCCAATCAGAATGAGTTTTTCCCCCACAAAAGGGCTTTCTTACAGACAGAAATACTCCTCAGTTTCATCAGCTGTCCGGGTGGCTGGTCTCAGATGATCCCGCAGGTGAAGAAGCCGGATGTGGAGGTCCTGGGTTGGCGTGGTTACACGTGGTCTGTGGTTGTGAGGCCGGTTGGACGTACTGCCAAATTCTCTAAAACGACATTGGAGGCGGCTTATGGTAGAGAAATGAAAATTTAATTATCTGGCAACAGCTCTGCTCTGGTGGACATTCCTGCAGTCAGCATGGCAATTGCACGCTCCGTCAAAATTTGAGACATCTGTGGCATTGTGTTGTGTGAAATAACATGTAGCCTGCACTAGGTCTAATCCCAGTCTATTTAGTCCTGTAACATGTAGCCTGCACTAGGTCTAATCCCAGTCTATTTAGTCCTGTAACATGTAGCCTGCACTAGGTCTAATCCCAGTCTATTTAGTACAGTAACATGTAGCCTGCACTAGGTCTAATCCCAGTCTATTTAGTCCTGTAACATGTAGCCTGCACTAGGTCTAATCCCAGTCTATTTAGTACTGTAACATGTAGCCTGCACTAGGTCTAATCCCAGTCTATTAGTCCTGTAACATGTAGCCTGCACTAGGTCTAATCCCAGTCTATTTAGTCCTGTAACATGTAGCCTGCACTAGGTCTAATCCCAGTCTATTTAGTCCTGTAACATGTAGCCTGCACTAGGTCTAATCCCAGTCTATTTAGTACTGTAACATGTAGCCTGCACTAGGTCTAATCCCAGTCTATTTAGTCCTGTAACATGTAGCCTGCACTAGGTCTAATCCCAGTCTATTTAGTCCTGTAACATGTAGCCTGCACTAGGTCTAATCCCAGTCTATTTAGTCCTGTAACATGTAGCCTGCACTAGGTCTAATCCCAGTCTATTTAGTCCTGTAACATGTAGCCTGCACTAGGTCTAATCCCAGTCTATTTAGTCCTGTAACATGTAGCCTGCACTAGGTCTAATCCCAGTCTATTTAGTACTGTAACATGTAGCCTGCACTAGGTCTAATCCCAGTCTATTTAGTACTGTAACATGTAGCCTGCACTAGGTCTAATCCCAGTCTATTTAGTACTGTAACATGTAGCCTGCACTAGGTCTAATCCCAGTCTATTTAGTCCTGTAACATGTAGCCTGCACTAGGTCTAATCCCAGTCTATTTAGTCCTGTAACATGTAGCCTGCACTAGGTCTAATCCCAGTCTATTTAGTACTGTAACATGTAGCCCTGCACTAGGTCTAATCCCAGTCTATTTAGTCCTGTAACATGTAGCCTGCACTAGGTCTAATCCCAGTCTATTTAGTACTGTAACATGTAGCCTGCACTAGGTCTAATCCCAGTCTATTTAGTACTGTAACATGTAGCCTGCACTAGGTCTAATCCCAGTCTATTTAGTCCTGTAACATGTAGCCTGCACTAGGTCTAATCCCAGTCTATTTAGTACTGTAACATGTAGCCTGCAGTAGGTCTAATCCCAGTCTATTTAGTACTGTAACCTGTAGCCTGCACTAGGTCTAATCCCAGTCTATTTAGTCCTGTAACCTGTAGCCTGCACTAGGTCTAATCCCAGTCTATTTAGTACTGTAACATGTAGCCTGCACTAGGTCTAATCCCAGTCTATTTAGTACTGTAACATGTTGCCTGCACTAGGTCTAATCCCAGTCTATTTAGTACTGTAACCTGTAGCCTGCACTAGGTCTAATCCCAGTCTATTTAGTCCTGTAACATGTAGCCTGCACTAGGTCTAATCCCAGTCTATTTAGTCCTGTAACCTGTAGCCTGCACTAGGTCTAATCCCAGTCTATTTAGTCCTGTAACATGTAGCCTGCACTAGGTCTAATCCCAGTCTATTTAGTACTGTAACATGTAGCCTGCACTAGGTCTAATCCCAGTCTATTTAGTACTGTAACATGTAGCCTGCACTAGGTCTAATCCCAGTCTATTTAGTACTGTAACATGTAGCCTGCACTAGGTCTAATCCCAGTCTATTTAGTCCTGTAACATGTAGCCTGCACTAGGTCTAATCCCAGTCTATTTAGTACTGTAACATGTAGCCTGCACTAGGTCTAATCCCAGTCTATTTAGTCCTGTAACATGTAGCCTGCACTAGGTCTAATCCCAGTCTATTTAGTCCTGTAACATGTAGCCTGCACTAGGTCTAATCCCAGTCTATTTAGTCCTGTAACATGTAGCCTGCACTAGGTCTAATCCCAGTCTATTTAGTCCTGTAACATGTAGCCTGCACTAGGTCTAATCCCAGTCTATTTAGTCCTGTAACCTGTAGCCTGCACTAGGTCTAATCCCAGTCTATTTAGTCCTGTAACATGTAGCCTGCACTAGGTCTAATCCCAGTCTATTTAGTCCTGTAACATGTAGCCTGCACTAGGTCTAATCCCAGTCTATTTAGTCCTGTAACATGTAGCCTGCACTAGGTCTAATCCCAGTCTATTTAGTACTGTAACATGTAGCCTGCACTAGGTCTAATCCCAGTCTATTTAGTACTGTAACATGTAGCCTGCACTAGGTCTAATCCCAGTCTATTTAGTCCTGTAACATGTAGCCTGCACTAGGTCTAATCCCAGTCTATTTAGTCCTGTAACCTGTAGCCTGCACTAGGTCTAATCCCAGTCTATTTAGTACTGTAACCTGTAGCCTGCACTAGGTCTAATCCCAGTCTATTTAGTCCTGTAACATGCAGCCTGCACTAGGTCTAATCCCAGTCTATTTAGTCCTGTAACATGTAGCCTGCACTAGGTCTAATCCCAGTCTATTTAGTCCTGTAACATGTAGCCTGCACTAGGTCTAATCCCAGTCTATTTAGTCCTGTAACATGTAGCCTGCACTAGGTCTAATCCCAGTCTATTTAGTCCTGTAACCTGTAGCCTGCACTAGGTCTAATCCCAGTCTATTTAGTCCTGTAACATGTAGCCTGCACTAGGTCTAATCCCAGTCTATTTAGTACTGTAACATGTAGCCTGCACTAGGTCTAATCCCAGTCTATTTAGTCCTGTAACATGTAGCCTGCACTAGGTCTAATCCCAGTCTATTTAGTCCTGTAACATGTAGCCTGCACTAGGTCTAATCCCAGTCTATTTAGTCCTGTAACATGTAGCCTGCACTAGGTCTAATCCCAGTCTATTTAGTACTGTAACATGTAGCCTGCACTAGGTCTAATCCCAGTCTATTTAGTCCTGTAACATGTAGCCTGCACTAGGTCTAATCCCAGTCTATTTAGTCCTGTAACATGTAGCCTGCACTAGGTCTAATCCCAGTCTATTTAGTACTGTAACATGTAGCCTGCACTAGGTCTAATCCAGTCTATTTAGTACTGTAAAATGTAGCCTGCACTAGGTCTATACCAGTCTATGTAGTAGCTGTAACATGTAGCCTGCACTAGGTCTCATCCCGGTATTAGCCCTGTAACATAGTGGTCCATACAATGCCCTGGGACACACCACATTGTGTCTTTTTCAAACAGAATTTGCTGTGTGTATCCATGGAGAGACACGCACATTGTGAACATTTGTGAAATAATATGATTACATATCTCAGAAATGACAAATGTGTATATGTTACAATAATCTACACTATATGTTATAGAAGCATAGTCTTAAAGATCATATAGATCTCTCTCAGATGTATCTTAATATATGTATATGAATTATCATTCTCTCTCTCTGTCTCTCTCTCTCTCTCTCGCTGTCTCTCTCGCTCTCTCTCTCTCTCTCCTCTCTCTGTCTCTCTCTCTTTCTCTCTCTCTCTCTCTTCTCTCTCTATCTTCTCTCTCTTGTCTATTCGTGTCCGTGTCTCTCTGGTCCCCCTGCAGCGCGTCTGCCTGATGAGAGAGTGTGACGAGCAGCGAGTTCCACAGCCCATAGCGCTCGCACCCCCTTCTACACCGCTTCCTCCTGGTTCCGTCTGGCGCAGTACAGTACATGACATCCTGGTCAAGCATGTCAGACAGAACATACCGAACACTACATAATACTCCTGGATACTCCAGACACTACGGGAACACTGACCAGACACTACCATGATACTACCGGAGTCACACCAGACACACCATGAAACTGTAAACCCTACCAGAACACTACAAAACACTCCATGGATTACCATACTACCAGGAACATCCCAAACCTACCAGAATTACCAGAACACACCATAATACTACCAGAACACTACCATAATACCATGATACACCATAATACTACCAGAATCTACCAGAACATACCAGATACTAGAAAACCAGAACACTACCATGATATACATGATACCATAATACTACCAGATACTACCATGAACTACATAATACCATGAACACTACCAAACACTACCAGATACTACATAATACTACCATGATACTACCATGATACTACCATAATAATACCATAATACTACCAAATACCTACCAGATACTATAATACTACCAAAACACTACCATAATACTACCAGAACACTACCAGAACTCTACCAGAAACTATCGAAACTACAGAACACTACCAAAACACTACCATGATACTACCAAAATACCATGATACTACCATAAACACCAGAACACTACCATGATACTACCATGATACTACCATAACACCAAACTACCATAACCTACCAGAACACTCCCAATAACACTACCATGAACAAACCAAAACACTACATTATACTACCAGAACACTACCAAAACACTACCAGAACACTACCATGATACTACCATAATACTACCATAATACTACCATGATACTATCATAATACTACCATGATACTACCATAATACTACCAGAACACTACCAGAACTCTACCAGAACACTATCAGAACACTACCAGAACACTACCAAAACACTACCATGATACTACCATAATTATACCATGATACTACCATAATACTACCAGAACACTACCATGATACTACCATGATACTACCATAATACTACCAAAACACTACCATGATACTACCAGAACACTACAATAACACTACCATGATACTACCAGAACACTACATTAATACTGCCAGAACACTACCAAAACACTACCAGAACACTACCATGATACTACCATAATACTACCATGATACTACCAAAACACTACCATGATACTACCAGAACACTACCATAACACTACCAGAACACTACCAGAACACTAACAAAACACTACCATAATACTACCATGATACTACCAGAACACTACCATAATACTACCATAATACTACCATAATACTTCCATAATACTGCCATAATACTACCAGAACACTACCGTAATACTACCATAATACTACCAGAACATTACCAGAACACTACCATAATACTATCAGAACACTACCATGATACTACCATAATACTACCATAATACTACCAGAACACTACCATAATACTACCATAATACAACCATGATACTACCAGAACACTACCATAATACTATCAGAACACTACCATAATACTACCATAATACTACCAGAACACTACCAAAACACTACCATAATACTACCATGATACTACCAGAACACTACCATAATACTACCATAATACTACCAGAACACTACCATAATACTACCATAATACTACCAGAACACTACCAGAACACTACCATAATACTATCATGATACTACCAGAACACTACCAGAACACTAACAAAACACTACCATAATACTACCATGATACTACCAGAACACTACCATAATACTACCATGATACTACCAGAACACTACCATAATACTACCATAATACTACCATAATACTACCAGAACACTACCAGAACACTACCATAATACTACCATGATACTACCAGAACACTACCAGAACACTACCAGAACACTACCAAAACACTACCATAATACTACCATGATACTACCAGAACACTACCATAATACTACCATGATACTACCAGAACACTACCAGAACAATACCAGAACACTACCAAAACACTACCATAATACTACCAGAACACTACCAAAACACTACCATGATACTACCAGAACACTACCAGAACACTACCAGAGCACTACCAGAACACTACCAGAACACTACCAAAACACTACCGTGGCAGAGGTACACTAGTGAAGATCTCATCACACATTAACCCCAGCAGGTACATAGTCCATGGTTCACATCAACCCCAGCACGTTCACAGTCCATGGTTCTATAGAACAGCATAAAGGAAACAGGGAAGGGTAGTGCGTACGTCCAAGTACATCACTGGGGCCAAGCTTCCTGCCATCCAGGACCTACAGTTCCAGTCAAAGTTTGGACACACCTACTCATTTAATAGTTTTTCTTTATTTGTACTATTTGTTACATTGTAGAATAATAGTGAAGACATCAGAACTATGAAATAACACATATGGAATCATGTAGTAACCAAAAAAGTGTTAAACAAATCAAAATATATGTTACATTGGAGATTCTTCAAATAGCCACCCTTTGCCTTGATGACAACTTTGCAGACTCTTGGCATTCTCTCAACCAGCTTCACCTGGAATGCTTTTCCAACAGTCTTGAAGGAGTTCCCACATATGCTGAGCACTTGTTGGCTGTTTTTCCTTCACTCTGCGGTCCGATTCATCCCAAACCATCTCAATTGGGTTGAGGTCGGGTGATTGTGGAGGCCAGGTCATCTGATGCAGCACTTCATTACTCTCCTTCTTGGTAAAATAGCCCTTACACAGCCTGGAGGTGTGTTGGGTCATTGTCCTGTTGAAAAACAAATGATAGTCCCACTAAGCCCAAACCAGATGGGATGGCGTATCGCTGCAGAATGCTGTGGTAGCCATGCTGGTTAAGTGTGTCTTGAATTCTAAATAAATCACAGACAGTGTCACCAGCAAAGCACCCCCACACAATAACACCTCCTCCTCCATGCTTTACGGTGGGAAATACACATGCGGAGATCATCCATTCACCCACACTGCGTCTCACAAAGACACGGTGGTTGGAACCAAAAATCTCCAATTTGGACTCCAGACCAAAGGACAAATGTCCACCGGTCTAATGTCCATTGCTTGTGTTTCTTGGCCCAAGCAAGTCTCTTCTTCTTATTGGTGTCCTTTAGTAGTTCTTTCTTTGCAGCAATTCGACCATGAAGGCCTGATTCACACAGTCTCCTCTGAACAGTTGATGTTGAGATGTGTCTGTTACTTGAAATCTGTGAAGCATTTATTTGGGCTGCAATCTGAGGTGCAGTTAACTCTAATGAACTTATCCTCTGCAGCAGAGGTAACTCTGGGTCTTCCTTTCCTGTCGCGGTCCTCATGAGAGCCAGTTTCATCATAGCGCTTGATGGTTTTTGCAACTGCACTTGAAGAAACGTTCAAAGTTCTTGTATTGACTAACCTTCATGTCTTAAAGTAATGATGGACTGTCGTTTCTCTTTGCTTATTTGAGCTGTTCTTGCCATGATATGGACTTGGTCTTTTACCAATTAGGGCTGTCTTCTGTATACCCCCCCTACATTTTACATTTTACATTTTAGTCATTTAGCAGACACTCTTATCCAGAGCGACTTACAGTTAGTGAGTGCGGACATTTTTTTCATACATTGTCACAACACAACTGATTGGCTCAAACGCATTAAGAAGGAAAGAAATTCCACAAATTAACTTTTAAGAAGGCACACCTGTAAATTGAAATGTATTCCAGGTGACTTCCTCATGAAGCTGGTTGAGAGAATGCCAGGAGTGTGCAAAGCTGTCATCAAGGCAAAGGGTGGCTATTTGAAGAATCTCAATTACAAAATATATTTAGATTGGTTTAAACCCTTTTTTGTTACTACATGATTCCATATGTGTTATTTCATAGTTTTGATGTCTTCACTAGTATTCTACAATGTAAAAAATAGTAAAAATAAAGAAAAAACGTTGAATGAGTAGGTGTGTCCAAGCTGTTGACTGGTACTGTATATGCTAGGTGGTGTCAGAGGAAGGCCCCAAAAATTGTCAAAGACTCCAGTCACCCAAGTCATAGACTGTTCTCTCTGCTACCGCACGGCAAACGGTACCGGAGCACCAAGTCTAGGTCCTGAACAGCTTCCCCTCCCCCCCTTTGTTTTTACATTTTAGTAATTGAACAGACTCTCTTATCCAGAGCAACTTACAGGAGCAATTAGGGTTAAGTGCCTTGCTCAAGGGCACATCGACAGATTTTTCACCTAGTCGGCTCAGGGATTAGAACCAGTGACCTTTCGGTTACTGGCACAACGCTCTTAACCACTAAGCTACCTGCCGCCCCATTTTTACACTGCTGCTACTCTCTGTTTATTATCTATGTATAGTCACCTTACCCCTCCCTACATGTACAAATTACCTCGACTAACCTGTACCCCCGCACATTGACTCGGTACCAGTACCCCCTGTATATAGCCTCATTGTTGTTATTTTATTGTGTTATTTTTTTTTTTTTACTTTAGTTTATTTAAACTCTATTTCTTGAACTGCATTGTTTGTTAAAGGCTTGTAAGTAAGCATTTCACGGTAAGGTCTACACCTGTTGTATTCGGCGCATGTCACAAATACAATTTGATTAGATTTGAACCTCTCCTCTAGCAGTCATTGATAGATGCCTTTAGTAGATCAACCAGTCTTCCATATGAACCTGAAGGGACCCATTGGTCATGTTCATTAAGGGCACACTGTAGCGAAAACGTTGACATTGTAACTCTTTGTTTCCTTTCCGTTTCGGACCATTTTTCTTCCATTTCGTGCCTGGTGAACATGACCGAGGTTTTCTACAGCTGAACTGCTCCCCTACCTATTCCTCCATCTAGACCTACCAGTGTGTTTCTATCTGTTTTAGTCCACTTTCTAACTTACTTCCCATGTTTCTGGCTGCACCCCCCCCCCCCCCCTACCAGCAACCCCCTTTTCAACGTGTGCATGAGCGAGCGCATGAGTGATCCCACTCCCTCCCCCACCCTCTCCACCTCCGAGCTAACTGAGCTGGCTGACGCTCGGCCGGAAGGGCGAGGAGGGGAGGAGGAGTTGGAGGCTTTGGAGGATCTGGACGATGATATCTTTTTGGACGACCCGTGCTCGGAGCTCGGGGATGATGATGATGATGATGATGATGATGATGAGGGAGAGCTGTGCCGAGGCGGCTCCAGCGAAGGCCTGGATCCCTTTTATGACCGCTCTCCGTTATTCAGTGTAGTGGGAAGGTTGGTGAGGTTTCAGGAGCATGCTGGGGGTGGAAACTAGCTCTTTCACACTGAGACACTCTGGTTCTCTCTGCTGCCCGAGGGAACACACACACTAACGCGCGCACACACATGCACAACACCTACAAAATGGGAAACGAACAAATGCACGCACACACCTGCATACACACACACACACACACACACACACCACAGGAAATTATGATTTAACAACAATATTAACACTGGATAGAGGTTGTTGTTTACTAATTTACTCCAAGTAGGGAAAGGATGGCGGGGTTGAAAAGTAATAAAGGGTAGTATATATATAAAAAACATGGGGGATTGGAAGTGATGCAGACAATTACATTGATAGAAGATACAATCTATCTGCAATATTAAGCTGATCCATCCCCCCCCCAAAAAAAATAAAAATAAAAATAAAAATAAAAATAAACAAATTATAATTAAAAAATAATATATATATAAAAAATAATAATAAATGTTTAAAAATAATAAAAAAACACTGGATAGAGGTTCTGTCGTTGTTTGGCAACCAAACTACACACGTCCACATTGACCTATGTTTGCTTTTACAAGTTAGCATTTTCATTGCATCTGGAAGGGCAGTATTTTCCAGAGAGGCATCTGCAGCTGTAGCATGAGAACACATTATTGGGAGTGACATCATTTTGGTTGGGTCCATCCAATACAGAGATCAGAAACAATACTGAATTACCCAAGGTCCCCTGCCTCTCGTTCAGTCCCCCTTTTCATGTGTCCACATCTGAGGCACTCCCATTACACTGTAACTCCACCAATGGCCATAAAGCCTGTGCTCCAGTCAAACATCCTTTCCTCAGCTCTTAGCCTCTGTCGGGTCTGGGGGGGGGGGGGGGGGGGATAGATGTCACTGCTAACTACCAGCCACACTACCCTTTAATCAGAGGCAACTCCCTCCCTTATAACTATATAAGGCCCTCCCTGACGTATATCTCCAGCTCTTCTATGCTAGCTGCTAGCTCCAGACCTTGCCTCAGCTCTCTCAGGGTGTTTTCACACATAGTTCTGAGCTGTAGTTCTAATCGCAGCTCCATTAAGTTCCATTATTACATTCTATATATTTTTTTTTATTTTAGTTTGGTTGGTTTCACGTTGCCAAATGTAAAAAAAATAAAAAAAATAATAATAATCTAAAAAGAAAAGGAAACAACGCAGGTTTCCATGCAAGTCATTTTGTTTATTGGACAAAAAATTGCTGAAGTTAAATCCATCTATGATCATCGGTTTACCGGGCTGGATTATCATGAAGCAACCCATATCTGATGCTATACTCACATAATCAGAGATATCAAGTTATGATGCAACCAATAATACTGTGTGACTCTAGTTATTTTTGCTGTGTTTGGGCCCGGACTGCGTTCTCACCTGCAGCGAAGCGAACCTCAGTACGAACTGAATCAGACAACCCTTTTTGAGCGAACCGCGTGTGTTTTTTAGTGTGCTCCCGAGTGTGGATAGTGTTCACACCAGTCCAAGTGAACCCAACTAAGGGGGTAAACACACCAGAGTTCGGAAAAACAGCATCAAACCATTTCGGTGTGAAAGCCCCCTTAGTCTTAGTCCCTATGAGCTCTGAGGTACAGTGGCTTGTGTAAGTATTCACCCCCCTTGGCATTTTTCCTATTGCCTTACAACCTGGAATTAAAATTGATTTTTTGGGGGGTTTGTATCATTTGATTTACACAACATGCCTACCACTTTGAAGATGCAAAATATTTTTTGGGGTGAAACAGAAAACTTGAGCGTGCATAACTATTCACCCCCCCCCCCCCCACCCAAAGTCAATACTTTGTAGAGCCACCTTTTGCAGCAATTACAGCTGCAAGTCTCTTGCGGTATGTCTCTATAAGCTTGGCACATCTAGCCACTGGGATTTCTGCCCATTCTTCAAGGCAAAACTGCTCCAGCTCCTTCAAGTTGGATGGGTTCTGCTGGTGTACAGCAATCTTTAAGACATACCACAGATTCTCAATTGGATTGAGGTCTGGCTTTTGATTAGGCCATTCCAAGACATTTAAATGTTTCCCCTTAAGCCACTCGAGTGTTGCTTTAGCAGTATGCTTAGGGTCATTGTCCTGCTGGAAGGTGAACCTCCGTCCCAGTCTGAAATCTCTGGAAGACTGAAACAGGTTTCCCTCAAGAATTTCCCAGTTTCCCAGTCCCTGCCGATGAAAAACATCCCCACAGCATGATGCTGACACCACCATGCTTCACTGTGGGGATGGTGTTCTCGGGGTGATGAGAGGTGTTGGGTTTGCGCCAGACATAGCGTTTTCCTTGATGGCCAAAAAGCTCAATTTTAGTCTCATCTGACCAGAGTACCTTCTTCCATATGTTTGGGGAGTCTCCCACATGGCTTTTGGCGAACACCAAATTAATTTGCTTATTTTTTTCTTTAAGCAATGGCTTTTTTCTGGCCACTCTTCCGTAAAGCCCAGCTCTGTGGAGTGTATGGCTTAAAGTGGTCCTATGGACAGATGCTCCAATCTCCACAAATGTTTTAATAATGGATTTAATGGTGCTTCGTGGGATGTTCAAAGTTTCTGATATTTTTTTATAACCCAAACCTGATCTGTACTTCTCCACAACTTTGTCCCTGACCTAATTGGAGACCTCCTTGGTCTTCATGGCGCCGCTTGCTTGGTGGTGCCCCTTGCTTAGTGGCGTTGCAGACTCTGGGGACTTTCAGAACAGGTGTATATATACTGAGATCATGTGACACTTAGACTGCACACAGGTGGACTTTATTTAACTAATTATGTGACTTCTGAAGGTAATTGGTTGCACCAGATCTTATTTAGGGGCTTCATAGCAAAGGGGGTGAATACATATGCACGCACCACTTTTCCATTATTATTTTTTTTGAAAATTTTGAAACAAGTTATTTTTTTCATTTCACTTCACCAATTTGGACTATTTTGTGTATGTCCATTACATGAAATCCAAATCAATTTCAATTACAGGTTGTAATGCAACAAAATAGGAAAAACGCCAAGGGGGATGAATACTTTTGCAAGGCACTGTAGACCCTACCAGCTCCCTCCCAGCTCCCTACCAGCACTGTACCAGCTCCCTACCAGCTCCCTACCAGCTCCCTCCCAGCTCCCTACCAGCAACGTACCAGCTCCCTGCCAGCTCCCTACCAGCTCCCTACCAGCTCCCTACCAGCTCCCTACCAGCAACGTACCAGCTCCCTGCCAGCTCCCTACCAGCATCCTACCAGCTCCCTCCCAGCTCCCTACCAGCATCCTACCAGCTCCCTCCCAGCTCCCTACCAGCATCCTACCAGCTCCCTACCAGCTCCCTACCAGCATCCTACCAGCTCCCTACCAGCTCCCTACCAGCATCCTACCAGCTCCCTACCAGCTCCCTACCAGCATCCTACCAGCTCCCTACCAGCTCCCTACCAGCTCCCTACCAACATCCTACCAGCTCCCTACCAGCTCCCTACCAGCTCCCTACCAGCATCCTACCAGCTCCCTACCAGCTCCCTACCAGCACTGTACCAGCTCCCTACCAGCTCCCTACCAGCTCCCTACCAGCTCCCTACCAGCTCCCTACCAGCTCCCTACCAGCTCCCTACCAGCTCCCTACCAGCTCCCTACCAGCTCCCTACCAGCATCCTACCAGCTCCCTCCCAGCTCCCTACCAACATCCTACCAGCTCCCTACCAGCTCCCTACCAGCTCCCTACCAGCTCCCTACCAGCTCCCTACCAGCATCCTACCAGCTCCCTGCCAGCTCCTTGCCAGCTCCCTACCAGCTCCCTGCCAGCTCCCTGCCAGCTCCCTGCCAGCTCCCTACCAGCTCCCTGCCAGCTCCCTGCCAGCTCCCTACCAGCTCACTACCAGCTCTCTAGAAGCCCTTTCATGAATCAGGCCATCAGAGGCACTCCAACTTCAGACACCGCTCCTTGCCTGGGTTCTGAGGGAGAAGTGTCGTCGTTGGTAACTACCAGCCACACTGCTCTTTTCATAAATTAGGCTTCTTATTTAACTGTCATACTCCAAAGATGGAAGGTTTTTTATATTGTTCAAAACCTGACAGTAAAAAAAATCTATATAAATCCATAATCCCAACAAATATCAAAATATATTGGTAGACATTTTGGGGCTTTTATGCTTTTCTTGATAATTGTCATACTTTGAGTCTCATCAGAAATGACTTGTCTTGTGAGCACTTACCTTGACCCAGGGCTTGACCTAGACTACACAGATCACACCAGGGCTTGATCTAGGCTACACAGATCTCATCAGGATCTAGGCTACACAGATCACACCAGGGCTTGACCTAGGCTACACAGATCACATCAGGGCTTGATCTAGTCTATACAGATCACACCAGGGCTTGATCTAGTCTATACAGATCACACCAGGGCTTGATCTAGTCTATACAGATCACACCAGGGCTTGATCTAGGCTATACAGATCACACCAGGGCTTGATCTAGGCTATACAGATCACACCAGGGCTTGATCTAGGCTATACAGATCACACCAGGGCTTGATCTAGGCTATACAGATCACACCAGGGCTTGATCTAGGCTATACAGATCACACCAGGGCTTGATCTAGGCTATACAGATCAGGGAGGATGCTCCTTCTTGACATCCTTCTTGATGATGACCCTGCCCCTGATTGGTGGATTCATCCATGCCACTTTGCTTCACTTGTAATCCAAGCAAAGTTGTTGCTCAACGAATGCTTGAGGTGTGTGTCTCACCTTTTTGTATGTCTAAAATGCAGGAGACCATCATCTTAAACACTGACATGTCTCATATATCTTCTGACATCTGTTTTTGTTTTTGCATAACGCAGACAGATGCCTCTCATTGCTAAATGTTCTTGCCATGTCATGAATGTTCTCTTGATAGTAAGTAGAAACGAATCATCAAATGATTCATCAAACGATTCATGTGAAACAACTGATTCAGGAAGTGATTCAGGAAGACTCAATGTCTCAATGATGAAAGAGCTGGTTTCTACTGCAGCTGTCTCTTTTAGGCATGCCAGAGCACAATATTCTTTATTTTGACCTTTTTTTGTAAAATTTTACATGGGAATTGGCTCCCCCACAAACCACACTCCACTTCTCATGGGAGTGGCTTATTTTGTATTTATGATGTCATCCTTTTTTCCCCCGTCGTAACATATTTCAAGCTGTTGGCTGTTGGTTCAAGCTTTTAGCCATGTTCCGTTTGATGATGATTTCTGCTTGATTTGTTTTCGATTCCTTTGAGTCAAGAAGGCCTTTTTGTTCCGAGCATGCCTTCTTTACACCTCACCAATCTTGTCGTTAGCCTCCCCTTCCTACCACTCCTTTACCCCTTAAATGTCTACCCGCCCCATTGGTTTTTCGGAAACGTGGTCCTCACAGCAAGACACAATTGTAGGCCTACAGTATGTTACAGAGCATAGGAGCTAACCCTACAGCATGTTACAGAGTATAGGAGCTAACCCTACAGCATGTTACAGAGTATAGGAGCTAACCATATAGCATGTTACAGAGTATAGGAGCTATGGTCTCTGACAAGAGAGTGAAACAAAATATCCTTAAGAAGATGTTCCCACATCTGCCATAAATCTCTTCAACAATATGACAAAGACTTGTTCAGGTGATCTTATCATGATACTTACAGACTTTCAGAGCTTCTCAGATTTCACTGTATTGTTACTTGTAAGGGATGTCTCCTGTAGTCTGTACTGACAAGCTCTCCCCATGCTGTAGCTGGCTAGACAGACAGACAGACAGACAGACAGACAGACAGACAGGCAGGCAGGCAGGCAGGCAGGACAGACAGACAGACAGACAGACAGACAGACAGACAGACAGACAAGAACAGGACAGACAGACAGAAGACAGACAAAGCACAGACAGCAGGAAAGACAAAGGGACAGCCATGTTGAAGTTTTATAAGCGAAAACAGCGACAGTCAAAAATTCAGCGGGGGGAGTGTGGTTTCCCGGTTTTTTTTGGGTTGCTTTACCTTGGTTTCTCCTTTTCGGGGGTTTTTCTCCTTTTATCTTCTCCTCTCTCCCTCCCCTCCTCCCTCTTCGGGGCCCCTTTTCCCCCGGGGTCTCTGAAAAACCCCCCCCCCCCCCCGAAAACTCCCCCCCGCCCCCCTCCCCCCCCCCCCCCGCCCTTTCCCCCCCCCCCCCCCCCCCGCCCCCGCCCCCGGGGGGCCCCCCCCCCCCAAAACCCCCCCCCCAAAAAAAGTTTAAAAAGGGAAAACCCCCAAAAGGGGAAAGGAAAACCCCCTTTTTTCCCCCTCCCGCTCTCGCTCCTTTTCTCTCAATCCCCCCCCCCTCTCTCTCCTCCCCTCCCTTCCCCCTTTCCCTTCCCTCCCTCCCTTCCTTTCCCCTTTCCTTCTTCGCTTTCTCTTTCTTTCTCTCTTTCTTATTCTTCCTCTCTCCTCCCTTCTTTCCCCATCTCCCCTCCCTCTCCCCTCCCCCTTTGTGTTCCCTTGGCTCTCCTCTTCCCTTCCCCTTTCCCCTTCCCCTTCCTCTCTGGAAGGGGGGCGGTTTTTTCCTCGCTTTCCTTTCTGCCCCCCTTCCCCCCCCCCTACAATCATAACTCCCAAAAATTCCCTAAACCTTGTACCCGGCCCCCCTCTTTTTCTTTTGCTTTTTTTTCTTCCCCCCCGCCCCCCCCCCTTTTTTTTTTTGCCCCTTTTTGGGGGTTTTTTTTTTTCCCCCCCCCCCCCTTTCCCCTTCTTTTTTTTTCCCCCCCTTTTCCCCCCCCCCCCCCCACCCCCCCGCCCCCCCCCCCCCCCCCCCCCTTTTTTTTTGGGGGGGGTTTTTTTTTTTTTTTTTTTTTGGGGGGATTTTGGGGAAAACACTCCCCCCGCTCTTCTCCGCCCTCTTCCCCGTCTCTCTCTCTCTCTCTCTGCTTGCTCTCTCGCTCTCTCTTCTCATTACCCGCCCCTCTCTCTCGCTTGGCATCCCTTGCCCTCCTCTCTCTCCTCCTCTCTCGCTCTCGTTTTTCGCTTCTCTTTTATTCTCGTTCTCTTCAAGGTTATGTTTCCTTTTATCTCTGTCTATCTCTCTCTCTCTCCCTCTCTGCACCTTTCCCTCTCTCCCTGTCTCCCTCCCCTACAGAGCTTTTGTGTACCTGAGTAACCTGCTGTACCCTGTGCCCCTGGTCCATCGTGTGGCCATCGTCAGTGAGAAGGGAGAGGTCAAAGGATTCCTCAGGGTGGCTGTACAGGCTATCTCAGGTAAGATCTGGACCACAGACCTCCACCCCCATTACAATCAATCAAACTCAATACAGCAAACAAGCTAATGGCCTAACATGAAGCATTGGGGGATCTGTACAGTACTGGGGACTTCATAAGACCCTCATTACAGTCAGTATATTAGCTTAGGTAGGGTTTGACTCTAGGACAGACTGAGTGTGACTTCTAGAGGAAGTCAAGTGAAGGTGTTTTGTGTTTCCCTCCAGCTGATGAGGAGGCTCCCGACTACGGCTCCGGTGTCCGCCAGTCTGGCACCGCCAAGATCTCCTTCGAGGACCGGGAGTTTGAGAAGGTATGTCTCCAGAGCAAACCAACAGAGGATATTGTTTTGTCTAGTCAGTGCCTATGTAGCTCCCCTAGTTTTACTAGCTAACTGTCGGTAGCAACCTCTTAGAGATAGATAGAGGACTCTAGTGCCCAAAAGCCTGAGCGTCATTGAGGACTTTCACCATTTTGAAGTAGTCAGCTGGGTGAGACTTCCTATGGGTTAAGGAAGGATCACATGATTCCATCCAGGTTATCAGGAGACATCAGCCAATTAATTATACGTTCCATAACTGCAGGTGGCAGTACATCGCCAACCTTGGCTTTATATCTGTTCAAACAACATACTCCAGCCGGCAGTATGGTAGAGCACGGCGCTTGTAACGCCAGGGTAGTGGGTTCGATCCCCGGGACCACCCATACGTGAAAATGTATGCACGCATGACTGTAAGTCGCTTTGGTTAAAAGTGTCTGCTAAATGGCAAATTATTATTATTATAATTATAATTATAATTATAATTATTATTATTATTATTATAATTATAATAATAATAATTATTATTATAATTATTATTATTATGCACCCTTTCAGTTTGTTTGCCAACTCATAGACGTAGTAGAAGAGGAAAATGTACTACTTAAAAATGGAGATGTCCTCAATGGCCTAGCTTTGCTAACGGTCAGTGGCTGCCCCTGCTACCACCTCTTCCACAGATAGAACAATGAGCCAGATGTTTCACCGGATGTATAAATCTGAAGAATCCGATTGGCATTTCCACTCACCACCAAATATGGTGATGAGAGGAAGCCCAGTGGCCGGCAGTAAAAATACATTTGGCGTTGTTTAGAAGGAGTTCAAGGGCGAATTGAGTTATTGCACACGCACACTTCACATAGTAGGCATTCTCTAACGGAAATATGCAAATACATGCTAGAAAGCAATAGGATCTCGCTAGTTCGTGCTTGGCTCTGCCCACCTCCTTGCTTGTTCGGTCCACTATGATTACTTTGCTCCTACTGGAAACGACAGGCTGTTGTCAATCTTGGGTTAGTTATAAAGATCTTTGCCTCTACAGTAGTTTTACTAACTGTCAGTGGTTAGGCTACCGCCTCTAGATTGCTAACTGTATGCTAGTCATTGGCAACGTTCTCTAGCTTTGCTAACTGTATGCTAGTCATTGGCAACGTTCTCTAGCTTTGCTAACTGTATGCTAGTCATTGGCAACGTTCTCTAGCTTTGCTAACTGTATGCTGGTCATTGGCAACGTTCTCTAGCTTTGCTAACTGTATGCTAGTCATTGGCAACATTATCTAGCTTTGCTAACTGTATGCTACAGTATCTCGTGGCTAGTCAGTGACTAGGCCTAGCTCCCAGCTTTGCTAACTGTATGCTGTCCCTTGTGGTCAGTTCCAGGCTGAGTCGTGCCCCGCTGGTCTGTCCCGTACCGGGGCGTCCCAAGAGGAGTTGCGTTTTGTGGAGGGGGAGGGACAGAACTCAGGGATGGAGCCCTCAGCCGATGAGGTCAACAACAACACATGTGCGGGTAACGACCACTGGCTGTGTAGTCTCTTGTCTCAGCCGCTGTGGTCACTCATCAAACTGTCTCTCCTCAGCTACTGTGATGTCTCATCAAACTGTCTCTCCTCAGCCACTGTGGTCTCTCATCAAACTGTCTCTCCTCAGCTACTGTGGTCTCTCATCAAACTGTCTCTCCTCAGCCACTGTGATGTCTCATCAAACTGTCTCTCCTCAGCTACTGTGGTCTCTCATCAAACTGTCTCTCCTCAGCCACTGTGGTCTCTTATCAAACTGTCTTCATCTCTCTGTGATGTCTCATCAAACTGTCTCTCCTCAGCCACTGTGATGTCTCATCAAACTGTCTCTCCTCAGCTGCTGTGGTCACTCATCAAACTGTCTCTCCTCAGCTGCTGTGGTCACTCATCAAACTGTCTCTCCTCAGCTACTGTGGTCTCTTATCAAACTGTCTTCATCTCTCTGTGATGTCTCATCAAACTTTTGTCTCAGCCGCTGTGGTCCCTCATCAAACTGTCTTCATCTCTCTGTGATGTCTCATCAAACTGACTGTACTCAGCCGCTGTGGTCCCTCATCAAACTGTCTTGCGAGAGAGACTATCTGTGGTCTCTCATCAAATTGTTTGTGTGGGTGTGGTCTGTGTGTGCAGTAGGTATATTCATTATGTCAAATGTATTTATGTACGGGTAGGTAGTGTGTTTATGAGAGTGTGCCAGAGTGAAACAACAGCCTGAAGGTATACTGTTGTAAGTAAGGATGTAGGGTAGTGTGGTGAATTAGTACACTACATATACTCAATGTCTCTTCTCCCCCCCCCCCCCCTAGCGAGTCCAGACGAGTTGGAGAGACCCCTGAAGGCCAACCTGGAGGGAGAGTCTCTGGACGGAGCCCTGGAGCACCTGAGGATAGGTAACGTCTTCACCTTCAGAGTGACGGTCCTCCAGGCCTCCAGCATCTCTGCAGAGTACGCTGACATCTTCTGCCAGTTCAAGTAAGTTGTTGTTGTTGTTGTTGTTGTTGTTGTTGTTGTTGTTGTTGTTGTTGTTGTTGTTGTTGTTGTTGTTGTTGTTGTTGTTGTTGTTGTTGTTGTTGTTCTTCTTGTTCTTCTTCTTCTTCTATTATCAAAGATGTTTCAGATCTATTAGATCCCGTAACAGACTGTGAGTGATAGATAACAAGCCCCTCTCTCTTTCGGATTGCCTACAGTTTCATCCACCGCCATGATGAGGCCTTTTCCACAGAGCCTCTGAAGAACACAGGGCGAGGCCCTCCTCTGGGCTTCTACCACGTACAGAACGTAAGCAGTCAATCAATCACATTTATTTATAAAAGCTCTTTTTACATCAGAGGTTGTCACAAAGTGTTTTAGAGTAAATACTGTAGTATGCAGTGGGCAATTAGTGAAAGAAATGTGATGGTTTGATATGCTTTGTTTCTGAAGTGGTTGTAGCTAGTATCTCTTTATTGGTTCAACAGATTGCTGTAGAGGTCACCAAATCCTTTGTAGAGTACATCAAGACCCAGCCTGTGGTGTTTGAGGTGTTTGGTCACTACCAGAAACAGCCCTTCCCTGCTCTCTGCAAGGACCTGATCAGGTACAGTAGTCCGCTGGTCACTTTCGTCATTGTGTTCGTTGTAATTGACAGGGGTCTCGTTTCCCAGTTGCGATGTAACTTAAGCATTATGGTGATCGTACCAGATGTGTCGTTATTCACGAGCCAACTCTTTTAAAGAGTGTTTCCCAAACAAGCACGTAGAGAGAACGTTGTCTAAGTGCGTCAGACCATGTGTCGCTACTGATAGGATCGAAAGAAAAGCAGCGCTGCTCTCGGATCAGCTTTCTCCATTCAAATCTTTACCTTAACAATATAATTATTCCACAACACTGACGATGGCTCAGCTCCTACAGAGATATTAACACTTATGGCTACAAATATTGAGGCAGTTTATTACGCTTACACAATAATAATGCACTAAATCACAGATTGGGAACATCGTTGAGAACTTCTTGTCTCACGTCATGAAACACATAGAGGCAAAAATGACAGACAATAGCCCATTGGCAAAATAGAACTCAATTGATTGAACATGAAATAGATTTCAGTATGATTGAAATATATACAGTAGGCCCACTTAGCCTATTTATCATTTAATGCAGTCATCTCCGTTTTCATTTGAAGCATAATTTTATCCTTCACTTGTTTTTTAACAATTTCAAATAGTTTGGCAACTTTGTATTTGTAGTCAACGTCGCTCTGATGTTATCGGCAGCCACAGTCACACAAATAGCCTAAACATGATTGTTTAGCGGAGATCTTCTGTGAATAAAGTGACACGGGAGGGCAAAAAAAGCATCTAACGACACACTTTGGCGGCTTTAAGAGCGGTCTGGATCACTCATAGATGTGCAAAGGTTTTTAAAGAGCAACTGCCCCTAAAAACAAACTTCTCATTTAGAAAACATCCTATGAGGTGTCAATATGAGTCAGAAACATTTATTCTACTGTCAAAATTTACTACAAAGTGTAAATAGGATAATTTGGGTCATACAGTCAGTCTCATCCAAAACCGAGTTGTGTGATACTTGTGGCATCACAATGCAAATGAAGGTTGAATTTGTTTCAAACCTGCCCACATGCCCACAGCTGTCAGCACACAAGAAATCAAACATTCGGAGTGCAGCTGCATGCGACCCAATCGTAATCCCTGTGGTAAATTTGGGTTGACTTTGGATATCCCTATGGGGCTAGTTAGGGACCATCATTAAATTACACAATGTACATATTAACAATATGTTACAATTCCAATAGTAAAAAATGTCAATGACTTAAGAAACTTAAACCAACTATAAATTGTAGAAATTACTTTACAAATATTGAAAGCATTTAATGAGAAAACTAAAAGGTGTGCAACATGAAAATATTTGCATTTACATGTTAGAGACACCCACATCAAACCACACCCCGAAACCAACTCACCTTTGAATTCATGGCCACTAGCATTTCTTTATCAACCAAATCTAAATTGAGGCCAAATCAGGAAGTGCAGTCGTCCTTTAAGAGCCAAGTTACTAACAAAGGTTCTGGGAAACACCTTGGCTACTAAATATATATCGTAAGAAGGTTCTAACGATGACCTTAACGCTACGAAGGCTCTGGGAAACGAAGCCCTGGTCTTTTGATGTGGCGGTAACATCATTTATAACTTACTGTACCTGTCTCTCTCCCACCAGCCCTCTGCGTACTTGCAGGAGGCAGTTCCCCAAAGTCATGCCCCTGTCCAAACCAGGTAAGCACCAGAACCATGCTATTCAGTTTTACTCAAGTAAAGAACTTGACTTCTACAAAAAAAGAATGGATCTACATGAAGATATGTCTGTTTTTATTTTTGAAGCAGCACACAGTATACAGTACACAGTATACAGTACACAGTACACAGTACACAGTACACAGTACACAGTAAACAGTACACAGTACACAGTAAACAGTAAACAGTACACAGTACACAGTACACAGTACACAGTAAACAGTAAACAGTACACAGTACACAGTAAACAGTAAACAGTACACAGTACACAGTATACAGTAAACAGTAAACAGTACACAGTACACAGTACACAGTACACAGTACACAGTAAACAGTACACAGTACACAGTAAACAGTACACAGTACACAGTATACAGTAAACAGTAAACAGTACACAGTAAACAGTAAACAGTACACAGTACACAGTATACAGTAAACAGTAAACAGTACACAGTACACAGTACACAGTACACAGTACACAGTAAACAGTACACAGTACACAGTACACAGTAAACAGTACACAGTACACAGTACACAGTATACAGTATACAGTACACAGTACACAGTACACAGTACACAGTAAACAGTACACAGTATACAGTGTGTATCATTCTGTTGTATGGCCTGTGTACAGTACTCTATGTTGCTGCCTACAGCGCATGTCTGTTGCATTGCCTCCATACTGTTAGTCTATGTAATGTCACGCTTGATGCTGTTGGCTGTACTATACTGTGCAATGTCCCGTCAGCTCAGTTCAATGTTGTTGGGTGCGTGTTACTCTGCGTGTGACTGTGAAGCAGCAGACGACGAGACGCCGCCCGACCGGGAGAAGACGCTGGAGCTGATTCGCTACCTGGTCCCAGAGGTGTTCAATGGGGCGCTGGTGGACTCTCTGTCAGGCCACGCCCTGTCCGCAGCCGGATTGGCTGCCTCCTTCCTCCTGGAGGGGGAGGGGCCACCCAGTCTTCCAGCCCCGCCCCTCTCTATCTGTTCAGTTATCAGAGCCCAGAAACCGGGTTGGTTACTGTCTGTGTGTCTGGGCCAATGAGAGTCCCTGAAACTAACCTCTCTTTATATCACTTTGATGTGCATTTACACATGCAGCCCAAATCTGATCTTATGACACAAATTGGTCTTTTGACCAATCAGATCAGATCTTTTGCCAATAATTGGGGAAAATATTATAATTGAGCTGCCTGTGGAAATGCAGTCAAGACGATAGATTGTAAATCAGATATAGAAACAGATATCTTGAATTAGCACCAATAGGATTACCAAATAGATTGTAGTCACTGACAAACACATTAACGTATTGCTCCTACATTCTGTTCATCAACATCAGCATAAAGGAAGAAAATAGATTTTTTCGCCAACTGATATCAACAAAAGAGGAGGTTGTGTTTCAGGGATTTTCCACAGGCTCTCTTCTCGTCCCTTGTTGTGTGTCTGCTGTTCACTGCCTGGTTGATTTCCCCTACAGTTCCTCCTGTGATCTCTTCCTCAAATGGATCTATGTAGCTTTCAACTTCTGTAGTTACCGTAAGCAATCCCGTATTGCTTGTAGTTTTTTGATAGCAGTCTAAAAGATCTGTGTATTTGATCAATCATACCTTAACCTCTCTTTCTGATTCTTCTCCAATGTAGGACCTGAGCTACTTTGGAACAATGCACTTATTATTGTGTTGTTTACTTGAGAAATATTGTATATAGACCCAAATAATGACAGGTAGTTTTATAGCAGGGCCACATCCCTGTAATGTTGAGGGATGACCGCTGTATTTATTGCCCTCCCTTTTCCGCAAGACTGTACCGAGTGGTTCCTCTATCTCTCACTGCAATATTCCCCATCTCCTTTTTTCAGCCCTTCTCCCTTCACAGCTCTACCTGCTCCCTGCTACTGAAGAGTGAGTCCTCTTCGGTGGTAACCTTGTCTCCCTTCCTTCACCTTCTGCTTTTAGTCCCTGCCACCAAGCTGACTACCCTGATGCGCCCTACAGCCGGGCCCTGCCACTGCAAGTATGACCTCATGGTGTTCTTCGAGATCTGCGAACTGGAGGCCAATGGAGAGTGAGTTTTCCATAGAGATACTATGTATATATATATATATATACAGTTGAAGTCAGAAGTTTACATACACTTAGGTTGGAGTCATTAAAACTCGTTTTTCAACCACAACCACACATTTCTTCTTTGTGCATGACACAAGTAATTTTTCCAACAATTGTTTACAGACAGATTATTTCACTTATAATTCAGTGTTTCACAATTCCAGTGGGTCAGAAGTTTACATACACTAAGAAGACTGTGCCTTAAAACAGCTCGAACAATTCCAGAAAATGATGTAATGGCTTTAGAAGCTTCTGATAGGCTAATTTACATCATTTGAGTCAATTGGAGGTGTACCTGTGGATATATTTCAAGGCCTACCTTCAAACTCAGTGCCTCTTTGCTTGACATCATGGGAAAATCAAAAGAAATCAGCCAAGACCTCAGAAAATAAATTGTAGCCCTCCACAAGTCTGGTTCATCCTTGGGAGCAATTTCCAAACGCCTGAAAGTACCACGTTCATCTGTACAAACAATAGTGGTCCTCTGTAGCTCAGCTGGTAGAGCACGGCGCTTGTAACGCCAAGGTAGTGGGTTCGATCCCCGGGACCACCCATACACAAAAATGTATGCACCCATGACTGTAAGTTGCTTTGGATAAAAGCATCTGCTAAATGGCATATTATTATAGTAGGAAAGTATAAATACCATGGGACCACGCAGTCGTCATACCGCTCAGGAAGGAGACGCGTTCTGTCTCCTAGAGATGAACGTACTTTGGTGCGAAAAGTGAAAATCAATCCCAGAACAACAGCAAAGGACCTTGTGAAGATGCTGGAGGAAACAGGTATCCACAGTAAAACGAGTCCTATATCGACATAACCTGAAAGAACGCTCAGCAAGGAAGAAGCCACTGCTCCAAAACCGCCATAAAAAAGCCAGACTACGGTTTGCAACTGCACATGGAGACAAAGATTGTACTTTTTGGAGAAATGTCCTCTGGTCTGATGAAACAAAAATAGAACTGTTTGGCCATAATAACCATCGTTATGTTTGGAGGAAAAAGGGGGGATGCTTGCAAGCCGAAGAACACCATCCCAACTGTGAAGCACGGGGGTGGCAGCATCATCATTATGTGGATATATTGAAGCAACATCTCAAGACATCAGTCAGGAAGTTAAAGCTTGGTCGCAAATGGGTCTTCCAAATGGACAATGACCCCAAGCATACTTCCAAAGTTGTGGCAAAATGGCTTAAGGACAACAAAGTCAAGGTATTGGAGTTGCCATCACAAAGCCCTGACCTCAATCCTATAGAAGATTTGTGGGCAGAATTGTAAAAGCGTATGCGAGCAAGGAGGCCTACAAACCTGACTCAGTTACATCAGCTCTGTCAGGAGGAATGAGCCAAAATTCACCCAACTTATTGTGGGAAGCTTGTGGAAGGCTACCCGAAACATTTGACTCAAGTTAAACAATTTAATGGCAACGCTACCAAATCCTAATTGAGTGAATGTAAACTTCTGACCCACTGGGAATGTGACGAAATAAATAAAAGCTGAAAAAATAATTCTCTCTACTATTATTCTGACATTTCACATTCTTAAAATAAAGTGGTGATCCTAACTGACCTAAAACAGGGATTTTTTTCTAGGATTAAATGTCAGGAATTGTGAAAAACTGAGTTTAAATGTATTTGGCTAAGGTTTATGTAAACTTCTGACTTCAAATATACAGTGAGGGAAAAAAGTATTTGATCCCCTGCTGATTTTGTACGTTTGCCCACTGACAAAGACATGATCAGTCTATAATTTTAATGGTAGGTTGATTTGAACAGTGAGAGACAGAATAACAACAAAGAAATCCAGAAAAACGCATGTCAAAAATGTTATACATTTCTTTGCATTTTAATGAGGGAAATAAGTATTTGACCCCTCTGCAAAACATGACTTAGTACTTGGTGGCAAAACCCTTGTTGGCAATCACAGAGGTCAGACGTTTCTTGTAGTTGGCCACCAGGTTTGCACACATCTCAGGAGGGATTTGTCCCACTCCTCTTTGCAGATCTTCTCCAAGTCATTAAGGTTTCGAGCCTGACGTTTGGCAACTCGAACCTTCAGCTCCCTCCAAAGATGTTCTATGGGATTAAGGTCTGGAGACTGGCTAGGCCACTACAGGACCTTAATGTGCTTCTTCTTGAGCCACTCCTTTCTTGCCTTGGCTGTGTGTTTTGGGTCATTGTCATGCTGGAATACACTTCCACGACCCATTTTCAATGCCCTGGCTGACGGAAGGAGGTTCTCACCCAAGATTTGACGGTATATGGCCCCGTCCATCATCCCTTTGATGCGGTGAAGTTGTCCTTTCCCCTTAGCAGAAAAACACCCCCAAAGCATAATGTTTCCACCTCCATGTTTGACTGTAGGGATGGTGTTCTTGGGGTCATAGGCAGCATTCCTCCTCCTCCAAACATGGCGAGTTGAGTTGATGCCAAAGAGCTCGATTTTGGTCCCATCTGACTACAACACTTTCACCCAGTTCTCCTCTGAATCATTCAGATGTTCATTGGCAAACTTCAGATGGGCCTGTATATGTGCTTTCTTGAGCAGGGGGACCTTGCGGGCGCTGCAGGATTTCAGTCCTTCATGGCGTAGTGTGTTTCCAATTGTTTTCTTGTTGACTATGGTCCCAGCTGCCTTGAGATCATTGACAAGATCCTCCCGTGTAGTTCTGGGCTGATTCCTCACCGTTCTCATGATCATTGCAACTCCACGAGGTGAGATCTTGCATGGAGCCCCAGGCCGAGGGAGATTGACAGGTCTTTTGTGTTTCTTCCATTTGCGAATAATCGCACCAACTGTTATCACCTTCTCACCAAACTGCTTCGCGATGGTCTTGTAGCCCATTCCAGCCTTGTGTAGGTCTACAATCTTGTCCCTGACATCCTTGGAGAGCTCTTTGGTCTTGGCCATGGTGGAGAGTTTGGAATCTGATTGATTGATTGCTTCTGTGGACAGGTGTCTTTTATACAGGTAACAAACCGAGATTAGGAGCACTCCCTTTAAGAGTGTGCTCCTAATCTCAGCTCGTTACCTGTATAAAAGACACCTGGGAGTTAGAAATCCTTCTGATTGAGAGGGGGTCAAATACTTATTTCCCTCATTAAAATGCAAATCAATTTATAAAATGTTTGAAATGCGTTTTTCTGGATTTTGTTGTTGTTATTCTGTCTCTCACTGTTTATATATATATATACAGTACCAGTCAAAGTTTTGGATTGACCTACTCATTCAAGGGTTTTTCTTAATTTTTACTATTTTCTACATTGTACAATAGTAGTGAAGACATCAAAACTATTAAATAACACATGTAGTAACCAAAAAAGTGTTACACAAATCTAAATATATTTTAGATTTGAGATTCTTCAAATAGCCACCATTTGCCTTGATGACAGCTTTGCACACTCTTGGCATTCTCTCAACCAGCTTCATGAGGTAGTCACCTGGAATGCATTTCAATTAACAGGTGTGCCTTCTTAAAAGTGAATTTGTGGAATTTCTTTCCTTCTTAATGTGTTTGAGCCAATCAGTTGTGTTGTGACAAGGTAGGGTGGTATACAGAAGATAGCCCTATTTGGTAAAAGGCCAAGTCCATATTATGGCAAGAACAGCTCAAATAAGCAAAGAGAAAAGACAGTCCTTCATTACTTTAAGACATGAAGGTCAGTCAATCCGGAAAAAGTGTAGTAAAAAAAAAACATCACGCGCTATGATGAAACTGGCTCTCATGAGTACCACCACAGGAAAGGAAGACCCAGAGTTACATCTGCTGCAGAGGATAAGTTCATTAGAGTTACCAGCCTCTTAAATTGCAGCCCAAATAAATGCTTCACAGTTCAAGTAACAGACTCATCTCAACATCAACTGTTCAGAGGAGACTACGTGAATCAGGCCTTCATGGTCGAATTGCTGCAAAAAAAAACACTACTAAAGGACACCAATAAGAAGAAGAGAGTTGCTTGGGCCAAGAAACACGAGCAATGGACATTAGACCGGTGGAAATCTTTCCTTTTGTCTGGAGTCCAAATTGGAGATTTTTTGTTCCAACCGCCGTGTCTTTGTGTGATGCAGTGTGGGTGAACGGATTATCTCTGCATGTGTGGTTCCCACTGTGAAGCATGGAGGAGGAGGTGTGATGGTGTGGGGGTGCTTTGCTGGTGACACTGTCTGTGATTTATTTAGAATTCAAGGCACACTTAAGCAGCATGGCTCCCACAGCATTCTGCAGTGATACGCCATCCCATCTGGTTTGGGCTTAGTGGGACTATCATTTGGTTTTCAACAGGACAATGACCCAACACACCTCCAGGCTGTGTAAGGGCTATTTTAACAAGATGGAGAGTGATGCAGTACTGCATCAGATGACCTGGCCTCCACAATCACCTGACCTCAACCCAATTGAGATGGTTTGGGATGAGTTGGACCTCAGAGTGAAGGAAAAACAGCCAACAAGTGCTCAGCATATGTGGGAACTCCTTCAAGACGGTTGGAAAAGCATTCCAGGTGAAGCTGGTTGAGAAATGCCAAGAGTGTGCAAAGCTGTCATCAAGGCAAAGGGTGGCTACTTTGAAGAATCTAAAATCTAAAAATATATTTAGATTTCGTTAACACTTTTTTGGTTACCACATGATTCCATATGTGTTATTTTATAGTTTTGATGTCTTCAATATTATTCTACAAAGTAGTAAATAGTAAAAATAAGAAAAACCCTTGAATGAATAGGTTTGTCCAAACTTTTGACTGGTACTGTATATAAATACTAAATTACTATAGTGTATATACAACCATATATGTGTTCTATATTCAACTCTATGAAGTATCCCATTTCACCACACTCACGCTCAAAAGGTTACTATAAGCTACCTTCCAATACCCACACTAGCATACTACCAAGAGTGAAACAATTATTTGGGAATATATGTATGGACATTGGAACACAGACACAGGACTGTACGCGCAGAGGCAAAGCTCCAGTTTCACCTCAACAGATGCTGCTTATCGATGATCCCAGTATTACGTGAAATAAATTATTATTCTCTGAACGTTCTATTGATTTCCAAATAGTTTACGTTTAGAAATCTATTACCAACGTGGAATGTTCATGTGATAACAATAACAGTAACAGCATTAACGTCATTCTCAACTTATTGGCCGATATGAAATCAATGAGAGTCTTGTTACCGTGCAGGAGAATAAATGATGGTTCTCTCTGTTTCCTACAGTTACGTCCCAGCAGTAGTGGACCATAGAGGAGGCATGCCTTGCAATGGGACGTTCATGCTGCACCAGGTAGGTCATTCAGGGAGTGGAGAAGTAGTTATGATTGAACTGATGTGTACTGTATGAACACAATGCTTCCTCTTTCTGAACATAATGCTTCCTCTTTCTGAACACAATGCTTCCTCTTTCTGAACATAATGCTTCCTCTTTCTGAACATAATGCTTCCTCTTTCTGAACATAATGCTTCCTCTTTCTGAACATAATGCTTCCTCTTTCTGAACATAATGCTTCCTCTTTCTGAACATAATGCTTCCTCTTTCTGAACATAATGCTTCCTCTTTCTGAACATAATGCTTCCTCTTTCTGAACATAATGCTTCCTCTTTCTGAACATAATGCTTCATCTTTATTAAAGAACTGGTGGTAAGTCGGCTAATGACCAAAGGGAGAGAAAGAGAACAGAGGGAGAGAAGAGAACGAAGCGAAGAGGGAGCAGAGTCCAGACACGGGGAGACGAGAGAGCAGAGCGAGAGAGAGGAGAGAGGAGAGAGAGAGAGGAGAGATGAGAGAGAGAGAGGAGAGCGAGGCGAGAAGGGCGAGCAGAGAGCGAGGAGGAGAGAGAGAGAGAGCAGCAGAAGGAGAGAGAGAGAGACCGAGAGCGCAGGAGAGGAGAGAGAGAGAGAGAGAGAGAGAGAGAGAGAGAGAGAGGGAGAGAAGAGAGAGCGAGAGAGAGCGAGGAGAGAGAGAGAGCAGAGGGAGAGAGAGGCGAGAGAGAGAGAAATGACGAGAGAGAGAAGAGAGAGAGAGAGGGAGATTCTTCCTATATCTCTCTATACGTCATCTCTCCCTCTGATGCATCTAGAATACTGATGCTATCTAACTCTCTCTTTTTATATCTCACTCATCTCTATCTATTCCTCTCTGATCTTTCTATCATTCTCTCTCTATCACGCGCCGTTCATCGTCGACTCTCTCTATCTCTCGCTGCGTATCTCTCTCTATTTCTCTCTCATGTCCTTCATCTGTATATCTTCGTCTGCCTCTATCTCTATCTCTCTATCTCTCTATTCTATCATATCTCTCTATCTGCTATCTACTGATCTCTTCTACTCTCTTTTTCTCTCTCGTCTCTTCTCTATCTCTCTACGCTCTTTCTCTTCTCTCTCTCTTCTCTCTTTTTATCTCTTTCTCTTTTCTCTTCCCTTTCTCTCTCTCTCTCCTCTCGCCTCGCTCTCGCTGCTCCCCCCTCCCCACTCCCCCCCCAACAGGGTATCCAGAGGCGCGTCACTGTGACCATCGTTCATGAGGACAGGTAGAGACATCATGTGGAAGGATGTCCGGGAGGACTGGTTGTGGTGGTGAGTCTGTTCAAGACATACTTTTTGGTCTTTTTAAACAACATAAATATCTTGGACCACAAAAAGCTCCTCCTCCCCTTCCCCAGGTCGTATCCGTAATTTCCCCCGGGGGGACATGCCATCCATTAGACCCCCAACATCCTGTCACTCAAAATCCTGTCAGCTGGGTATGTCAGGCCCATGCAGGAGGACAGGTATGTACCAGACTCTACCCTTCATAGGGAACCCTACCAGACTCTACCCTATCCAAGGGACCCTACCAGACTCTACCCTTCATAGGGACCCATAGACATAGGTTGCGTCTCCAATGGCACCCTATACAGTGCACTACTTTTGACCAACACACACACACACACACACACACAAAGAAGTATACAGGGAATAGGGACTAGATAGGGAATAGGGTGCCATTTGGAACGCAGTTTATTTAATCAATAAGGCACGAGGGGGTGTCGTATATGGCCAATAATACCACGGATGAGGGCTGTCCTTAACACGACGCAACGCGGACTGCCTGGATACAGCCCTTAGCCGTGGTATATTGGCCATATACCACAAACCCCTGAGGTGCCTTATTGCTATTATAAACTGGTTACCAATGTAATTAGAGCAGTAAAAATAAATGTTTTGTCATACCTGTGGTATGCGGTCTGATATACCACGGCTGTCAGCCAGTCAGCATTCAGGGCTCGAACCGCCCAGTTTATAATCAGAGATATCCCACAAGACAACTGTATACTATGATCTGTTAGATGATTGGTTATGATTTGAAAATATACACTACATGGCCAAAAGTATGTGGACACACCTTCAAATTAGTGGATTCGGCTATTTCAGCCCCACCCGTTGTTGCTGACAGGTGTATAAAATCGAGCACACCGCCATGCAATCTCCAGAGACAAACAATGGCTGTAGAATGGCTCGTACTGAAGAGCTCAGTGACTTTCAACGTGGCACCGTCAAAGGATGCCACCTTTCCAACAAGTCAGTCTGTCAAATTTCTGCCCTGCTAGATCTGCCCCGGTCAACTGTAAACGCTGTTATTTTGAAGTGGAAATGTCTAGGAGCAACAACGGCTCAGCCGCGAAGTGGTAGGCCACACAAGCTCAAAGAACGGGACCATAGAGTGCTGAAGCGCATAGCACGTAAAAATCGTCTGTCCTCGGTTGCAACCCTCACTACCGAGTTACAAACTGCCTCTGGAAGCAACATCAGCACCTTGAACTGTTGGTCGGGAGCTCATGGAATGGGTTTCCATGGCCGAGCAGCCACGCACAAGCCTAAGATCCCCATGCGCAATGCCAAGCATAGGCTGGAGTGGTGTAAAGCTCACCACCATTGGACTCTGGAGCAGTGGAAATGCGTTCTCTGGAGTGATGAATCACGCTTCATCATCTGGCAGTCCGACTGACGAATCTGGGTTGTATTTGTATTTGTATTCATCCATGTGTACGTGTGTGTATAGTGCGTATGTTATTGTGTGTGTGTATGCATGTGTCTGTGCCTATGTTTGTGTTGCTTCACAGTCCCCGCTGTTCCATAAGGTGTTTTTTTATCTGTTTTTAAATCTAATTTTACTACTTTCATCAGTTACTTGATGTGGAATAGAGTTCCATGTAGTCATGGCTCTATGTAGTACTGTGCGTCTCCCATAGTCTGTTCTGGACTTGGGGACTGTGAAGAGACATCTGGTGGCATGTCTTGTGGGGTAATCATGGGTGTCTGAGCTGTCTGCTAGTTGTTTAAACAGACAGCTCGGTGCATTCAACATGTTTAATACCTCTCACAAATACAAGTAGTGATGAGGTCAATCTCTCCTCCACTTTGAGCCAGGAGAGATTGACATGCATATTATTCATATTAGCTCACTGTGTACATCCAAGGGCCAGCCGTGCTGCCCTGTTCTGAGCCAATTGCAATTTTCCTAAGTCCTTTTTTGTGGCACCTGACCACACGACTGAACAGTAGTCCAGGTGCGTCAAAACTAGGGCCTGTAGGACCTGCCTTGTTGATAGTGCTGTTAAGAAGGTGGAGCAGTGCTTTATTATAGACAGACTTCTCCCCATCTTAGCTACTGTTGTATCAATATGTTTTGACCATGACAGTTTAAAATCCAGGGTCACTCCAAGCAGTTTAGTCACCTCAACTTTTAGTTGAGGTTTAGGGTTTAGTGAATGATTTTGTCCACAATAAAATGCTTTTAGTTTTTGAAATATTTAGGACTAACTTATTCCTTGCCACCCACTCTGAAACTAACTGCAACTCTTTGTTAAGTTTTGCAGTTATTTCAGTCGCTGTAGTAGTTGACATGTATAGAGTTGAGTCATCCGCATACATAGACACACTGGCTTTACTCAAAGCCAGTGGCATGTTATTAGTAAAGATTGAAAAAAGTAATGGGCCTAGACAGCTGCCCTGGGGAATTCCTGATTCTACCTGGATTATGTAGGAGAGGCTTCCATTAAAGAACACCCTCTGTGTTCTGTTAGACAGGTAACTCCTTATCCACAATATAGCAAGGGGTGTAAAGCCATAACACATACGTTTTTCCAGCAGCAGACTATAATCGATCATGTCAAAAGCCGCACTGAAGTCTAACATATCAGCCCCCACAATCTTTTTGTCATCAATTTCTCTCAGCCAATCATCAGTCATTTGTGTAAGTGCTGTGCTTGTTGAATGTCCTTCCCTATGTTCTTCTCCTGGCGGATGCCAGGAGAATGCTACCTGCCCGAATGCATAGTGCCAACTGTAACGTTTGGTGGGGGAGGAATAATGGTTTGGGGCTGTTTTCATGGTTTGGGCTAGGCCCCTACATACCAGTGAAGGGACATTTAAATACTACAGCATACAATTACATTCTAGACGATTCTGTGCTTCCAACTTTGTGGCAACAGTTTGGGGAAGGTCCTTTTCTGTTTCAGCATGACAATGCCCCTTTGCACAAAGCGAAGGTCCATACAGAAATGGTTTGTCGAGATCGGTGTGGAAGAACTTAACTGGCCTGCACAGAGCCCTGACCTCAACCCCATCGAACACCGTTGGGATGAATTGGAACGGCGACTGCGAGCCAGGCCTAATCGCCCAACATCAGTGCCCGACCTCCCTAATGCTCTTGTGGCTGAATGGAAGAAGTCCCCGCAGCAATGTTCCAACATCTAGTGGAAAGCCTTCCCAGAAGAGTGGAGGCTGTTACAGCAGCAAAGTGGGGAACCAACTTCATATTAATGCCCATGATTTTGGAATGAGATGTTCGACGAGCAGGTGTCCACATACTTTTGGCCATGTAGTGTAAGTTATATTCAATATATAAGTTATATAGAGAATTCCAGCTGTTATTTTGTTGGAATTATCAACATAATTGTGAACTGTTTGATACTATACAGTTAATTTACAGTTCTGAAAATGTTAGATTTGCATCATAACCAATGAAACTCAGTACCACCACAACAGTGATCCATTTACATTGTGTTTCTCCTGCCTTTGGATTCACAGTCCTCAGCGGGGGTTTCAAAACTGAAATGGCACAATCACGATCACTATGGAAACGCTAGCATGTGTCAAGCTCCGGAGTGCTGTGCTCTGGAGACACATTCTCTCATCTGTGCCAGCCACATGGGCTCCCGAGTGGCGCAGCGGTCTAAGGCACTGCATCTCAGTGCTATAGGCGTCACTACAGACCGAGTGGCGCAGCGGTCTAAGGCACTGCATCTCAGTGCTTGAGGCGTCACTACAGACCGAGTGGCGCAGCGGTCTAAGGCACTGCATCTCAGTGCTTGAGGCGTCACTACAGACCCCCTGGTTCGATTCCAGGCTGTATCACAACCGGCCGTGATTGGGAGTCCCGTAGGGCGGCGCACAATTGGCCCAATGTCGTCCGGGTTTGGCCGGTGCAGGCCGTCATTGTAAATAAGAATTTGTTCTTAACTGACTTGCCTAATTAAAAAACATACCCCCAACACACCTCACAGACACAGAGCAACCTCCACAGAAATATAAATTAATAGAATGGGCTTGGAAAATCTGGCAATTTTACTGGTAAACTCATGGGTACGCTCGCAATGGCCGCCAGTCCACACATTATGCCATCATTGACTTGAATGGGGACGGCAGTTCTATTCCTTCTATTTCTATGGCAACCTCCCCCAGAGGATCACAGAGACCCTAACCACTCTAACACAACACTCTATAACTGTGCCAAAGGAGTGTACAGTCGGCTCTGTCCTTATACATGCCTGGACACCATTCATATTACTGTATATTACTGTAAGACACTTTGAAACTGTAGTTCACTGCACACATGTTGATGCATGGTACCCATATGTGAGGCAGCTATGGGTCAGAACGCTTGATGAAGCTCACGCGGTCAAGATGCACAGCTTGACTGATTAACCAACTCCACGCAAAGAGGCTTTACCCCCCCCATGATGCTTGGTAACCCCCCCATGATGCTTGGTAAACAGCATGTGGTTCTACCAGCCTAGAAATAGGAGGTCACATGATCAGTGGGAGAAAGACAACAATACTTCCCCATCCTTCTGCACAGGTGGCACAAAACAAACAAACATTTATAGTGCAAAAAATATGATCATATTGATTGTGATCGATTGACCGTGATCGATCCTTTTGACCACATACCTGTCATGGATCCTTCAGATAAGTAGGCCTGTAACAACATCTTATTATTATTATTATTATTATTATTATCTTGAAGGTTATTTATGTCACTGCTATGCTGGCTCCCCCTTAATGCTAGTCTGTCTGCTGCTGGTTTCTGTATGTCCATCTACCACCCCACCTCACCACCTCCATGCTGCCTCTCACCCTGGTCACTGCATACTCACCTCTCACCTCATAATTACACTAACTGTTACTATAATCTCACTCAGTCCCCATCCTCACATAGATCTATATAAGACCTTATGGAGTAAGGCTTATAAGCGGCTCAGTACTTTTAAAAACATTGATGGATGATGTTGATCCTCGTGGGATACACCCTCCTGCCATTTCAAGACCACATATCCACCATGCACTGGCATGATGTCCAATGCTAACTCACTTAGCATAACTACACATCATAACTCACTTAGCATAACTACACACCATAACTCACTTAGCATAACTACACATCATAACTCACTTAGCATAACTACACATCATAACTCACTTAGCATAACTACACACCATAAACTCA